GGGTCAACACGCTCCGCGCGGCCGTGCCATATCACAGGTCTCTCGACATATACTCAATGAAGGGGATCCACACACATATACATAAGGCTTGTGCCATTCGATGACCTCGGCCTTCGGCCTCGGTAATGCAACCCTAACCCTAACCCCGCCCTTTCCTACACCACGGCAGCCCCAACACCAACGCACACAGCACAAGACGGCAGGTTGCGCACGCCACACCACCATGTACATACGCTATGTTGCTCCCTCCGTCTCTTACAGCCCCACACACCCAATGGCAGAGAGCCCTCTATAGCACGCCCACCCCACAGCACACCCGTCCAGCCATACACAACACGCAGCCACTCACCGTCAGGCCACACACACGCACCAGACGGAGCAGTGTCAGCGTCCCCCGGACGGTGCACAGCGGCAGATTCCTCAGTTTGGGCCGCACTCGCAGCACTCCCAGAGCGGATACCCCTACGCCGTGGGAATCGCCATCGTCACACGTCTCCAGCAAGGTGACAGCTCACAGACGGACCATTACTCCCCTGTACACGTTGCTCGCCTGCCGGTTGGCTCAGTAAAGTGCCCGGCTCTCATGCCGTGCAGTGGGCTGTGTTGTGTTCGGCGTGGCCAGGCCCCTCGAGTCGACCACCACCACACATGGCACAGACATCGCCGCATCTGTCGCAGCCCTCGTCGTGCCATGCCTCTGTTTCGCGCTGGTGCTCTGTTCACCTCCGCTATCGTGGTGGCGTCCGCCTGTCCCTCAAGAAACTCCCGGCAAGAGTCAGCTCCTTTCGTACCCCTTTTCGCCCCTGCTCGTCTACATTGCCCGTTGCCGCACGGTCGTTGAGGAAGAGGTGGGTTCATCACATCGAAGCTGGCGCGGTGTGCGGACGGTTGAGCGCGAGACGTTGCAGCACTCCGTCGTTCAGCACACCGGGCAGCTCCAGCTCTAGCGGGTTCGAAGACTCGTGGAAGTCCTTGAAGAACATCTCATAGTGCCGCAGCAGCTCCGTCAAATGTGCGAAGCCGTCCAACTCCGACAGCCACGTGAAAGGGTTCGGCACGGCGTGGTGGTCTTCCTCCTCGAAGCCGCCCATCAGCACCCAGCGCAACAGCGTCGGGTCCACACCGTAGATCTTGAGCGACATGGTGAAGGAGAAGAGCAGCTGATCTCGCGCGAAGAGGGACCGGCAAATTCGCTGGTACAGACTGCGCTTGAAGGTGGTGTTGATGGCCTCGGTGCGCTCTTCCACCTCGACTTGGCGCTGTTCATCAACGCCTCCTGGAAGATGGACATGTAGGACTGCAGCGAGTTTTGGTACATAGGATCGATGTTGGCGAGCTCCGTGACGCAGAAGAACAGAATGGCTCCGAGGTGAGCAGCAGGTATGAACATGTTGCGCGTGCGATCACTAATGCGCTCCATCGCCTCAATCTCCTCCTGCCGCTTCGCAATGCGGTCGCTCTGCTCCTTGGAGCTGTCGAGCTCCTCAATAGCCCCCTCGCTCTCAAGGATGTTGCCTTTGGTGGAGAAAATGGCGAGAATGCAGTCTTCCGTAGACGGCTCCCCCTCTCCCACCCCGGCCCCCAGGCGCAGACAGGACTTCCCGCGCAGCCTTTTGAAAAGTGAACCAAGCAAAAGCCATGAGTGGTAACTCATAACGGTATGATTCTTTTAGTTCGTTGAAAATGTATCGTTGAGGACTTTAGAACTCGAAAGATACTGTTCTCTAAATAGGAATTTCTGTCGAGTTTATGTGGAGTAGAAAATGAGGCAGGATGCTTTCTGTTTGTTACTCTTTAATGTTACGAGTAGCTGAACTGGTTGCCCGGACTCGTAATGAAAACAGCGGAACTCGATCTCGCTTAAACTATTCTTCCTCCTCTTCGTTTCTCTGTTGGAACCTATCACCTCTCCGTCATCAATTACTCAGGTGGGAGATGGATGTTCCGTTTATTGCTGTTGACACAAGAACCGGATTCCATCTAGCCTCGCACAACTTGAAGGCCATCGACACACAGGCAAGAAGCAAAGAAGCCTTAGCAGTTCTTTGCAACAGCGTGCTATTGCTGTGGAAAAATGTCAACGAACGCTCCGAAGAGGAGAGCTTCGACGAGACGCATTCAACGTTTGTCGTAGAGAGTAGCAACTTGGCTCAAGCCGCATTAACTACGCAGTATTTCCACGCGCATGAACACGTTTTGTGTGTTGTCTTTGGGTCCCAACACCACGTTTTGTATGAAATCTTCGCCGATCACATAGCCGCTGCTATTAACGCAAGAACGAAGTTCTCAAAGGACGGCAAAGCTGTTAACAACGTTGCTCGAGCGGCGTTGAGTGACGCTTTCCAAAAGCAGTGCAGTAACCTGGGAATTGTTGATGCAGTGCTAGTCGTTAAAGGCCCTATGAAACGGTTTTCTTTGTGTCACGGACACCTTGCCAATTCCTCGGAGGCGCTTGACGCGTACATCAGTGCAGGTCTGTGCTCTGGTATATTTACTGATGGCTCACTTCAGTGTCTGGTCTGTTCATCAGGTCCTGTTCGCTGTGTTGTTGCAGCACCCGACACAACGCTGGAAAGTATTGAAAAGATAGCGGATGACAATTTTATGCTGAGCTGGGCTTTAAACCTCGGTTTAGGCGACTGAAAAAAATGAGTTGGTTTCTTCTAAGCGCTTATTTACTACATATATTTGTACAATAGGCTACTAACACCTCAAAAGAAATAGAAATAACAGCGTAACTGGTAAAGCAAAAGTGATGCTAATAACAGAAGAAAAAATATCTCCTATATGCTCTCTTGATCATCAAGAAAAAGTTATAAACAATAGCTACAAGGTTGTTTTGGAACCGCGGAATGCGCACCGAAGTTCTTTTTTGTCTCTCTCTTTCTCTCTCTCTCATATATTTATATGGTTTTCCGTGTCCAGCACATGATTTTCTTTTTTGTATGCTGTCCGAAAAGCTATGATTTTGTAGGAAGGGTAAACCGTTTAGCTTTTCAAAAATGGACGTTCCCAGTGAAGATTATGATGTCAGCGTGATGATCAAAGCGGTCAACGAGGTGCAGGCCGTGTTGACCTCGCGACAATTTGCAACCTTCTCTGAAGTGGACACTGAAATTGCAAAAACGTTGAAGCGGTACGAAGCTTTCGGCGATGGCTTCGAGCGTTTTCACGTGAATCTAACGAAAGATGCTCTTCAGTCGAACGATTTGCAGAAAAGTCTGAAAGACATGAACAAGCGGTGCGAAGAGCGGTTGCGGGATTGCGAATGTAGCCAAAAAGACCAAATCAACGACATTCTGCCGTTTATTCGCAACACTTCAACGATTCTCGTTCACGGCTCGGGTAATCTTCTGGCTCTTGCGGTTGCCTGCGCCATCCAAGAGCATGAAGGGGTCCGATTCTACGTCTGCGAAGGTCGTCCTGCGCGCAAAGGTTTTCCCAGCGGTTCTGGTGTGGCACTCTTAGAGAAAGTGAGTGGCACGCCAGAAGGAATGCGTCTCAAGGAGAAACTACAGAAGTATTGCACCATCGTTCCTGACAGTGGTGTGAGTTCCGTCATGAATAGCGTTGATTTTGTGGTCATGGGTGCAAACTGTGTGACTGAGCACGGTGGGCTTGTGCATTCCACAGGCTCGCTTCAGATCGCCATTGTTGCAGCTTTTCGCAGTGTACCTTGCTACGTGCTTTGCGAGACGTTTAAATTCACGCATATCTTCCCTCTAGGAACGGAAGACTTGAAGCAACCTGAAGATGGCGCTGGGCAGGTTGTTCCTCTCGTAGAGTTTGTTCCACCATCAATGATTACGCTTATCTTTTCTGACCAAGGAATCATGCCTCCATCCGCTGTTGCCGATGAGATGTTCCGCTTTCACACCGCACCGTCTGCTCCATGGAAGCAGCGTTGACTGGATTTTATTTTCGATTTTAGTTTTTGTTATCGCTGTTGTTGACTGTGATTCTTGATGCTACCCGTGTTGGTGCTCTCTTCTCAGAGGGCTTGCTGCCGTATAACTCAATTTGTACTGCGACATAATGTTAATAATAAATGTGAGTTGCTCACTTTGCTTGACTAGCATTTCAATCATTGGATTCAAAAAAAAAATAATGAAAGCCTGAATCTTTGATGCTCATTTTTCTCTACGCTGTTAATACATCGATGTCATAGAACTAAAAAAAAAATGCGGCTGATTTCAATTGCATAGTGTGCTCCTTTTTTGCGTACCGTCTCCCGTTGCTCTTGAATACATCGCTACTTTTCCTCAACATTTGCCTCGTATTACGTTCCGATGCCGGGGAAACAATAAAGCGCGTTTATATATACATATTGTTTTTTCCACGGACTTCAGTATTCTTATCATTATTTTTATTGATTTCTCTTTTACGTTTCAAGAACAATGCCTTGCAATTGTCGACAAGGAACAGCTCTGCACAACCATCTCGGAGATGCGCTGTCGAGTGAAGGTGTGTTCGGCTTGGGTGCCCCTATTAACGAAGCAGTTGACCTGACGGCGTTGCAGGTGTGGAACTGCAAGAACTCTGCAGAGGAAGCTGGACGTATTTTCAACCCTAACACAAGTGATAACAGTCTTCCCATTTGCAGCGACGACGACCAGGAACTGCTGATATTTGCACCCTTGAATTCTCTGTGTCGAGTGAAAGGCCTGACCATTACCGGTCCAGCGAACGACTGCGCTCCGTCACGCGTCAAAATTTTTGTGAACACTGGCAATATCACCGGATTTGACTCAGTTCAAAGGTTGGCTCCGCAGGAGATGCTGCAACTTGCTGAAGGTGGCTCGGAGGATCGAATTGTGTACCGTGTCAACCCGGGTAAATTCGCTTCCGTCTCCTCCCTTGCTTTTCTATTCGATGAAAGCTTCAACGGTGAGGAGACGGATGTGCTGCGCATTGAACTTTTCGGAGAAAACAGTGGAAAGTCAACACAGCAGCAGGTTGCAACTAACATAGTGTATGAAGGCCGTGGCAACCCAGCTGATCACCGGGTGACGGAAGAGAAAAACGCTCTTTTTGAAGTCCGTTGAAAGTTACCAACACTTCTACAAGTACTTTCGCAGTGAACTTTGCAGCTTTCGTTTTCTTGTCGATATTATTGGCTCACCGTACAATGAGTCGCTTCAAAGAGAAAAAAGCGGCTGTCACGTGTCTACAATTTAATCAGCTACTATTTTACTGTTCTATTCTTCAGCATAGCAACTCTATGTTCATCAAACTATAAAGCGCAAAAGGGACAAAGATAGAACACTTGTTCTTGATATAAAATACGGTACGCAATAAAAGAGCTTGAATGTTCATCCTTTGTAGCGCTTTTTACTTCTCTGTTCTGCCTGTCTATTTTAAGGAATAATTTGCGAGCATCTCTTTCGTCGCGATTTGTTTTTAGATGTATGTATTCTGTCGTGATTCCTACTGTTCTCTTTTCTATTATTATTACCCTTTCCTCTTTCTCTCTTCACTACGTTCTTCTTATTTTACATTCGGTTCACTCATTAAAGTGAACAAGTTGTTGTCGTCGCGTTTTTTACGATTGCTTTATTTATTTTTCCTGTTAACGTTCCTACTTTTCAGCTTGTGTTTGCGCAAAAAAGAAGAAACATGCTCCAACGTCCAGACCACACTCTTCTCCAGGATCCGTCCTACCCCAAGGATGTTCGTGTCAAGCTGACCGAAAATGGACCTGCCCAAGCTGGTAAGCAGCTGTTCCAGGCGGACCCAGCTGTCATTGATCCGCAGCTGAGTGAGGCTGTGTCACTCGGAACGACCATTCTTGCGGTTTCGTACAAGGGAGGTGTTGTGCTCGCTGCCGACTCACGCACATCTTCTGGCACATATGTGGTGAACCGCGCCAGCAACAAGCTGACGAAGCTAACGAAGAAGATCTATTGCTGCCGCAGTGGTTCTGCTGCCGATACGCAGGCGCTTGCAGAACGCGTCTCGAGCTACCTAGGCAGCTACCAGACAGATGTCGGCGCGGACGTAAATGTCGCCACCGCCGCAAACCTATTTCAGAAGATGTGCTACATGAATAAGTGGAACATCTCGGCCGGCATTATCGTGGCTGGCTACGATCCCATCAACGGCGGTTCAGTCTACAGTATTCCATCTGGCGCGTCGTGCGTGAAACTCGATTACGCGCTGGGCGGAAGTGGTTCTATTTTCCTGTACTCGTTCTTTGACGCGAACTTTAAGCCGGGAATGTCGAAGAGCGAGTGTATTGCGTTCTGCCAGAAGGCGGTGGCGCACGCGTACAGCCGTGACGGATCGAGCGGTGGTCTGATTCGCACGATTGCCTTGGACGCGGACGAGCCGGAGGATCAGACGATCCCATGGAACAAGACACCGTACTGCATGGAGAAGGACCCCAAGTATCAGGAGCAGGCGGTCCAGAACCTGCCTTTCAGCAGCAGCGCGAAGATTACTGGTAACCGCACGTCTTCTGCGTGAGGTGTTGCAATGCAATGTTGAGTCAGGGTCGATTTTCTGCGTGGATTCTACACTTGTTGTTTTTAAGCACGCATTTTTGGTCTTCGTTTGGTTTCATTATTATTATCTCTTTTTATCTCTCGTTGTTGGCAAGTTAGACATGCATAGCAAAGCTGAAGGCAGCGGAAAAGTGTTTTCAAAGCGGAGGCTTTCTTCTTTCGTCTCATCAAAGTTGGATGAAGGTACGTTCGGGTGCGTTGTCTCCATGAACAACGAGTATTTTCGTGTTTACGCAGCTGCAGATAGACGGTGAAGCAGCAACTCCGCATGATCGGCGCGTTGCTATGAGTGATTCTCTGCACGCACGAGTTACATTGCACTGAAATAAATAACAAGGCGCTTTGGGAGACTTGGATAAAGCATAATATATGGCAGCAGTGTTAGTCAGGTGTTGTGTAAACTCTGTTTAAAAATAGCTCTGCTCTCTCTCTCTCTGTCAATATTTGCCTGTCCCGCTCATTCTGTTTTATTCACGCCTTTTTTTTTAACTACTGTTTTTTTTTTTGTCGTTGTTGTTAGTGGGAGGCGAGAAGCAAAAACAAGCTACTCATGAAAGGGATGCTGGCCCGGAAGGGCGTTGCGGCCTTGTATGCGGGGCCCAAAATCGCCTCGTACACGGATGCCTGCGAAGCACCTCCGGCAATGTGGGATGGCGCCATCCCACTCAAGCAAGAACGGGTGTTCAAGAATGGCGTTGCAACTCGTATTGTGAAGAAAACATACTCGCACCCTCCAGAGATTTACCCCGCGAATCTGAGCTTCAATGATGTCAACTCCATGTACTGCCTCGGAAACGACGAGCTGATTAAGTATTTTCCGGAAGGACTGGGCGGGAAGGTCATGCAGTTGATGCCGCCAGGACACCCGCGTGGCTTCTTGTATCGCACACAGAGCCACCTTCTCAACTGCTTCATTGACAAGCTTTCGTTTTGGCAGGCGAAGGAAAAGGCGATCCGCTCCTTGACCAACGGGCGCAGCGGCTTCATCCTCGACGGGCCTACCGGAACTGGAAAAAGCGCGATTGTGTGCCAGGCGGTGCACTACGCTCGCTCTCGCGGCATTATCACGCTGTACATTCCCAACGCCAAGGCGTGGACCCACGGTGAGTGGTGCTGGCCAAGCACGATTCTTCCTGGCTTCTTCGACGCACCCGATGCAGCGCGTGATTTTTTGCGCACAGTGGCAGAGGCAAACCGCAGCCTGCTCGAAGGGTGGGACTTAAAGGTGACGCCGCAGGACCTGCCAGTGGAGCAAGGAGAAAAGCAGCCGCGGACTCTCTACGACCTGTGCGAATGGGGACACCGCGCCGTAGCACCAGCCTCGATCGATCGTCAGAGCGTATGCGTCAAGTTCTTCTTTGACGAAATCAGCGCCGAGAAGACAAAGCCTATCGTGATAGCGGTGGACGGGTGGAATTTGTTCTCCCACGAGACACACTTCCGCTACCCGCACCCGGACTTTCTCCGCACGCTCACGACGCTGAATGACGGATCCACCGACGTGGACCTGTACCCACAAGAGCTGCCAAGGATTCCTGCGTCGCGGCTCAGCTTTGTGCGCGGTCTCAACAAGCTAATTCTCTCGCGGAACGACCCAAACAAGTTCTTTATCACGTGCACGACCCGTGACTTCAAGCCGTTTGACGGCATCAGCGGCTTCGCGGATGTAGAGACCGACCGGTTCAAGAATAGTCTGGACGAGTACGCGCCGTACGATCCGGAGAAGGACTCTTTCTTCCACCCCATGAAAGTAGAGAACTTTACCGAATATGAGTACAGGTCGTTTCTGCGTTTTGCCATCAACTCAGGTGAGCTGGCAGGACTTGGATGGGGCCCAATGTGGCACTACTCAAGCGATTTTGAGCGCAAGCTGTACAAGATCGGTTTCATGTCCGACCGCAACCCCCAGCGTGTGGTGGACCACTACCACCAGGAGCTTGTGTGGCGCTACGAGTACAAACGCACTCGCCAAAAGCAGTATCTGCTGGCGCGGCGCAGAATGTGGCAGAGTGCTAATATGGCGGCAGTTGGGCGTGCGAGGAAGCAGTAAATCTGCTGCTAACGGTTGTGTGCCCACCGCGAATGAAGGGGCTGTTGTTGGTCTTGTTCGTTACATTATTTTGAGTGATCTTTTGAGGAGAAGAAGTACCTGCGGTGTCGGCGCGAACCCTCTGTGGTTCTGTGAATGCTAAGAACGATGTACTTCTTCCTTCGTTGCAATCTAGAGAGAAAATATTAGCGTTACTCGGCTGCAGACGACAAAACAAACATGAACTCGGTCTGAAACATCATACGCAGCGGATGTCTCAACGTGACGAAGAAATAGACAGGCAGCGCTCTTTTCTAGTGCTTCTGCTTGTTGTGTTTTTATGAGCCATTTGTCTTGTACGTGAGGATTCATGCGAGTGGTGTGGTGTTGTATGCGCATTTCATTCTGAGGCTATCATATAATCAACATACTCAATCACTGCACCTTTCGAAACGCCTCTCCTCCTTTGTTTTCACAATCTCGCAATACTGTTGCTAAGCGGGGCGGGCTCGGTTTCGACTTCGTTTGTGCGAGTATTCACTCCGCTGCAGCGCCTCTTTTCAATACAACAGAGCGAAGTACACTCCTTTATCATCGCAAGTGTTTCGCGGCGATCTTACGACCCAGACCGGAAAAGGCATTCATCTACTTAGTTGGCAATGGTCAAACGTGGCAAAAAACGAGGTGCACTGGTGCAGCCCAATTTTGATAGCATCAAGCGCTTTTACGCTGTTGCGCCTTTCACTGGTGCGGAGCACGCAACTCTGCCGCCAGTGTACGCAGGTGCCTATAGCCGACGCGCCGCAATGAACGCTTACCACGTAGTGGGCTCGTCGCGTGACCAGATCGTATCGGATGCCATGCGCACTTTTTCTCCATCGTCGTGCACGCAGGAGGTGACGAATTTGTTTTTGGAAGTTGCAGCGCTCGTATCGCTCTATTACGACACAAAAGAACAGCTGCAGACACTGCCGGACATATGATGCTTCACAACAAAAGAAAAGATACTATTTGAAAGAAAAAAAATGGCTCTTCGGCAAACCTCGATAATGAAGGAGGTGGCGTTTTCAAGTATCTGCTCTTGAGTGTTGACGCTCGTTGTACCATTGAACTCGTTGCTTTGAGCGCCAATTATGCGATACAAGAGCCGGGCGAAACGTTTTGCCGCAGTGCTCTTTCTCCTCTCGCTCTCATCGCGCAGCTTACTTGGCTTCTTCCTGGGACTGCTCCTCTGCTTCTTGTTAACAACTTCTTTTAGCATTTGTTTCTTCACAGAAGGGGAACACGGCAGCTTGCGTTTGTGAGATATGGCGAAGCAACACAAAAAGCTCAGCGAAGCTGACCAGGATTTGGTTGTGTGGAGGGCGGCAAAGCACGTGCGGGATGGTACCGCCGTGGAGCTGCCTCGCGTGGTGCGAACCGTTGCGTCAGCCACGAAACTGTTGACAGAGCGGAAAATCAAGCTGGTGGAGAGGGTAGGGGGAGACACGATGATATTCGGACCTATACGTGGGCACGCGTGCGATTTTGCAAACATACTGCTCAGCAAGGTCCTCCCCAACCAACACATCAAGAACATAATTTTTCTAGGCAACTACATCGATGGCGCACACCAATCTCTTGAGGTGCTCTTCCTCATCGCGGCTCTTATTGTGTGCTCTCGATTCCACATCATACCCCTCATTGGCAAGCACGAAATGATGTACCCCATCCAGCCGGAGAACTTCGGCTCGCTGCGTAATGAAATGTTGCTCTGTTGCGCCCGCTCGCCGCAAACGTCGCTGGAGGACTGCGAGAACGTCATGAAAGAGTTCTTTGCGGTGCTGCCGATCGCCTGCGTTGTAGAGAACAAGTACTTCTGCGTCGCCGGTGGCCCCGCTTCTGGGTACAGGACGCTGGAGGATATGGAGGCGAAGCGTGTGACACAGGACTCACTGAAGGAGTTTGTGCTGAATGAGCCGATGGACGAGGACGAGGAACGCATTGCGGACGGCAGCACGTTTGTGGCATCGCAAAGCAACGAATTGGCCTTCCGCTACACGTTTAACGCGGCGTGCAATTTCTTGAGCCGCAACCGCCTTGGCATGCTTATTGTGGGCATGGAGTACCACACTAGCAGGCCGGACTACGACAGCTTTGCCCGCCCCAACCACTACAAGGAATCCATCTACTTCCCCGGCTACATGCTGGGCCGCATTCACCCGGAGACGCAGGTGCCGGCGGTGCTGACGATTTTTTCCGCGCCGTCCTTCTGCGGTGTAAATCGCAACAACGCCTGTATCGTCGAGATCACCGACAAGCGTCTCGAAGTGCAAGAGTTGGGCGTGTACGCAAAGCGTCCGCTTGTCACACCGGGAACCCAGGATCACGCCTTCAGCTGGGCACAACCAATGCTGGAGCGCGCCGTGGTTGCCATCGCACGTGAGATCATCTTCGGCGCCATCAAGGAAGACGCACCTCCCGAGAGCGATTCGCATCACAAAAGACTGGAGGAGATCGCTGTGTCGAAGATGCGCCGGATGTGCCAGCTTCTGCAGGCACACGAGCTTCCGCTGCCAGAAGTGCCGAAGCTGCCGCCCGACGAATAACCCGCGACTCTCTTTCCTTCATGTGTGGCACGGCCGCTGCTCCCACCCATGGGAATGTGCGTTTGCGCGCACGGCTTTCGACCTAGTCACCGAGGTAACTCGCCGCTGCTTCAACAACAAAACGCAAATGCTTTTTATTGTGCATCAACGTCACGTCTTCACTCTTATGTGTGTACATCCGCTTGATCGTCGTTGAATGCGCTCTGTTTGCCTTCCTTCCCATGGACCCGTGGACACCCGTGGTCTTGACTTTCATTGCTTTGTCAAGAAACACTTAATACTAAACGAAGCTGCTCCCCATTTTTGTTGCAGCACTTTTACTTGAACATGCTCTGCTACTGATCAGCGATATTTGCTAGCATCTATAGTAATGGTTCCCGAAAGAAACAGAGCAGCGCGACACCGAGTACTTTGATATTGCACGACGCTTAAATGCACGAAAGCTGTACCATTTTGTAGGCGTCCGATCAGCTGCGCGATGTTGTCGCGTGAAAACGCTACACCGTGCGTTGCGCCTAGGGATCACCATGCCTCATGAAAATGTTTCGGACGTCGACTCTTTCCGGGCGTTCTTCACACGACTTTTCCGCTCGTCTTTTTGTTTCGTTCGTGCTTTCGCGTTTGCCTCGCCCCCCTGTCGATAGAAAGAGAAATCACTCGCCACTTATCCGAACACACGCTCTAGAAAAATAAGAACTAAGCGACCATGTCTCGTCTGCTCTCGCACTACTCCAAGGGCAAGACTGCCTTCGTTTGCGTCGACCTGCAAACCGCCTTCAGTGAGCGCATCAAAAATTTCCCCAACTGCGTTTTTGTTGCGAATCGCTTCGCGCGCATGCACGAGATTTTGCCAGAGTACACGAAGTACATCGTGACGGAGCAGTACCCGAAGGGCCTCGGACGCACGGTGAAGGAAATCAGCCTGCCCAAGACCGCCCACATGGTTGAGAAGACGCGTTTCTCCTGTATTGTTCCCGAGGTGGAGGCGCTTCTGAAGGACGTGGACAACGTCGTTCTTTTCGGCATCGAGGGTCACGTCTGCGTGATGCAGACCGCTGCGGACCTGCTGGACATGAACAAGCGCGTCGTTCTCACCGTCGACGGACTCGGCAGCCAGAAGACGACCGACTTCAAGACTGCCATGAAGCTCATGGGCACGTGGGGGCCCAACTGTGAGTTGACCACTTCCGAGTCGCTCCTCCTGCAGATGACAAAGGACGCGAAAGATCCCAACTTCAAGCAGCTTGCAAAGCTTCTCCAGGACCAGCCACCTATCCCGTTGTAATGAGCTCAAACACACGTTTTATCCGGTCAAATGGAGAGCAGACCATAAAATGGAGGTGCTAGGTTGCAAGGGGTGAGTACCAGTCTTTACTGTGTCGTTTTATTTGCATACACCTCCACGTCTGCATGGCCTCCGTCGATGAGAGGAGGCGAGCGACGCACCGGCCGTTCTTCTTCCTCCCAGCCTTCCTCCTCTTATGCTAGCGGATTGTTTCAAAAGTACCTTATTAACAAAAAAAAACACTCAGTTTTCTTTTCTCTTTTTGTGCTGTTCTTATTTATCGACTACTTTCTCACCTGCCCAAACACCAGAGAAAAGATAGTGTGTGAACGCAGACACTCTTTGGTGGGTGTGTTTGCATATGTGTGCCCTCAAAACGCAGAAGGATGGACCTACAGGAGGAAGTTGCTGTTGTTGACCAGGTGGCCTGCACGTGAGAGGCCTAAAAAGTGGGTCACATTTGATTCCCATCTTTGATGGAGTCTCTCACGGTGCATTCATGCTATCTTGCTGTTGTAAACGTATTTCTCTGTTACGTCAATCAGCTGGTCCCAAATCGGGACACTAACGTGTTGATGTGAAGCGCTGCATGTCCGTTACAGGCAATCACTTTTTTTTTCTGTCTTGCAGTGCCGGAAATGTAAACGCTGCTGTGCTTCTCTCACTCCCTCCCTCCCCCTTCTTCTTCTTGTCGTTTGTCGGTGTTGTCTACTTGTATGCTCTGTTGAAAGCGATAATACGACAGAGGGAACATTAGTTCGTCTTCTGAAAATGAGCGCGGAGTTTTCGCTGCTGCAGCACCTGGGTGTTTCTGTGGGCAAGTGTGAGCCGGCTCCCGCGGCGCAGAGCAGTAGCGCTCCTAAAGCCCCTCCAAAGGACGCCTTCCGCGTATGGGCACCAGCGCAGCATCCACCGCCGAGCAAGAAGGTTTCCCCTGATCGGGTGCGTGGCGTGCTAGCCAGGCGACGCAAAGGGCCGGCGAAGTCGTACGCAGACCCGACAGGAGAGGTTTTTCTCCGCAACGACACGGTGAGGAGGTGCAGTACGTCGTGTACAACTCCAAGGTGCCATCCATCTATGGAGTGAACAGGCAGCTCGCGGAGAGGAAGCGGGCCGAAAAGGCGCACGACAACAACGTCGACGCGCTGACGAGTTGCGACGCGGAGTTTGGGCAGGATGAGGCGCTGCAGGAAAAGGCGAGAAGGAATATTTTGCGGGAACTGCAGATCTGCAACCAAGAGCAGGCCAACCGCAAAAAGGAAGAAGAGCGCCGCGATCGCGAACGGCGCATCGCACAGGAAAAGGCACAGCTGCGCTACCGAGACGCGGAGGCCGCACGCTCAGACGAGGAGGCACGCATCCACAAGACACAACAGCAGGAGGCGCTGCGCATGGCGGCAGCTGAGGCCGCTACTGCCAGAAAACAAGCGGCCACCACTCCGGAAAGCGATTACGCCGTCTCGACATGGAACGGCGCCGACGAGGACGAGGAGCGGCGTTGTGCAACGCAGCGCCGTACACGCGAGTTTTCGGAGGCGAATCGGCAAATGGCAGAGCAGCAGCGTGCCGAGCGCGACGCACGTGAGGCGGCTGAGAGGGAGAACGCCCGCGTCGCGCGTGCGGAGGCAGAGCAGCAGATGCGCGAGGAGCAGATGCGTGAGGCGGCGACGCGGCAACAGACGGCGGAGGCGTTGCGGCAGGCGCAGGAGGCGGAGCGAGAGAGGAGGTTGACGGCGTCGGCAGCTGGCAGCCGCCCTCCCCCGGCTCTCGTGGGCTCCCTCTTTGACTTCGCCGAGAAGCGCGAATCAGAGGAAGCACAGCGGGCTCAGCAGCGGCTGCGAGAGGACATGGCCATCAACGCCCGCCTGGCGGAAGCGAAGCGAGCACGGACGAGAGAGGAGCGTGAACAGGAGAGAAGCTATGCGGCGCAGGTGGCGGACGCCAACTTTGAGGACTTCCAACGCGAAGTTGCCCAGTCGCGGCTGCGTCGCTTGCAAGAGCAGAAGGAGATGCAGAATGCGGCTGAAGTGGCCGCAGCAGCAGCACGCGAGAAACAAAAGCAGGAGGCGCTGGTGGATCGCAGTCGACCTGATGATGCGTTGCTATTCTGGGCTGGTGAGGATTCCTCTCGTGCAGAGGAGACCAAGGCAGAGGCAGAGCGGCGCTACCGCGAAGAAGTGCGCCGCCAAGCGGAACGGAAACGGGCGGAGCGGGCGAGAGATGACGAAGAGAAGAAAGCGTGGGAGCGCGCCCTTGTTGCGTCCGACAGCGAGGCGGCGAAGGCGGCGGATGCACGCGAGCGCAGAGAGACGCAGGAGAAGATCGCGCAGCTGCGTCACACTCTGGAGGATCAGATGGCTGCTAAGAAGGAGCAGCGAAGGCAGGAGCACCCACAGTCGTCACAACGCGGGCTCCTTCGCGGGCCAGCGCCGGACGCCATCTCGCTTTACCGGTGCCCTGTCACTGGTGAACTGCTCCCTGCAAGCGCGTACGACTTTGGTATTCGCAGGGGTCGTTAAGCGAGCCTCACTCCTTCAACGAAACGGTTCCAAAGGGAACTGCAACCAGCACACGCCAACCTCACTTGTCTGCTCCGCTTATCGTCAAACCTATTTGCATTATGTTGTTTTACAACTAGATCACCGCTTTTCCTTTACTCTTTCTCTTATCGCCCAGGACGGTAGAACAGAATAAGCTCATAACGCCTCCACCGCACGTCTTTGTGTTCTCCACCAAGGGGTGAGTTGTAGCGTCTGTCAGATTTTCTCTCGTATCTTTCTTTTTTCTTCTAGAACTGTACATGTAGCCTTGCGCAGTTGCAGTACACCCGCATGAGAAGTTGCGTTTTACTGCCCTCTAGCGGCAACGCAAGCAAAAAGAGTGCTGCAGCGCACACTGGAAGCAGTAGTTGCGGTATCGTACGTATGCGAGTCGCCGTTCTGTGCTACCGTGTGCGTCCTTGCTGTTGTTGGGGTTTTTTTTTTCCAGTGGTGTGAACACGGAAAAAGGGAAGGACACTTCCATCAAATCGCACGTCTCTCCGGTCGTGTGTGGGAGGCTTCGTACGCCTCTGCGGGCAGTTTTGTTGTTGAATGCACACACACACACACACACGAAGGAAAAACTGCGTCTGTGACTTTGATGTCTTCTTTCTCTCTTCCTATTCTTGCTTCTTAGTTCTCAACGATCCCAAAACAAACCTTCGCTGGTTTAAAGAGAAACAGCTGCGCCGAACCGTGTGTGTAGAGCCTCTTAAGCACCGAGAGAGCATTTCGCTGGTTCTACAGAAACTACGTAGTCGCGTATCCGCACCAGCAGCACAGCCATGGCCGAAACGTCCGAGAGCACTGCAGAGGCGTACATCGAATATCTTGAGAAGCAGCTCCTTGAGGTCACCTCCTGCCGCTGCTATCAGCCTGTCCACAGGTTTACTGCATTGTCAGCATCTCGCGGAGGAAGTGTAAGACGCCTAATCCTAGCTTCTGTACTGGATGCATTGAAGGTGTGTCTTGGAGTGTTCCTCGTACTGCAGATTGCAGTGCGACTCTCATTGTGAGGCTGGACACGTCAAAGCATTTCACCTTGTTGTTCAATGCACATCTCGAAACTAGCCTTTTTTTCGGACTTGATTTAGCGGTGTTTTTATTGTCAGCCTGTCTTTTTCACTCTTTCACTGCTGTTTTACTTTCCCTGTTGTCTGCCTTCGACGACCCAGACCACAACAAAGAAAACGCATGTCTTTGCTCTATGGAGACGGAACAAGGCATCCCGCTGCGGTTCTTGGCTTTCAACAGTTGCATATATATATAGCGAGAACGACGCCTTCGCACCAGCCGCTGAAGTTGACCACGTAGGGCACTTCTCTTCTGCTTCTCTCTGCGAGTGAAACATGACTCGCTTTCGTTTCTTCCACCTCTCTTCTTTTCTTTTCCTGCCTGCGCTTCTCATCAAATATCTCTCAACATGTCGACGTACGCTTGCTGCCAAGCGAGCGGATCACACAAAAACAGCTAGGCACTCCGGCAAAGCTGGTCCTTTAGATTTCTTCGTTTCAGTGCGCCGCGATGCAGTCTGTTCTCCCCTACACCACCAATCCATCGCAGATGGTGGCTATAGAAAACCTAAAACTTATTAACCCTTCTTCAGCCGCGGCAACGGGACCGTACCTCCGCGTGCGCGACTCCAAGCTGGTAGTGGGAGGGCTGCTGCACAACTGGGACGCCGAGGCGGCGCACGCGCTGCTGAACGCACCAAAGGCGGTGCAGACGTGGGACTTGTCGTGGAGTGAGGAGGAGACGAACTGGGAGGAGCGGGTGCACCGCTGCACGTATCCAGAGGAGGTGGAGGACTTCCTGCCTGCCAAGTGGATCGGCTACCGTGTCCAGAGCGACGTGGACGAGACGCTGGCACGCGTGTGCAAGCTGTGCACGGCCCTCGTAGACAAATTCATTGCACTCTCGCAAGGAAACAACGCGAATGTGTCGACGGCGAAGTGGAGGCAGCGGCAGGCCTTGTACGATCGCCTGGGTGCTGTCATGGAGCTGCTGGAGGCCTCCATTGGCGAGGCGATTCCCATCTTGAAGCTGAAAGACCAGGCGTTTATGCACGAGTGCTGGAACCAAATGCAGGCGGAGGAGCGCTCAGAAATTATGTCCGCCCTCGGGACGGCAGACGACGTGTAGCGTCGAAGTGGAGAATCGGCGTTTTTCTCCTCCTCCTCCTCCATTCCATCCACATAGATCGCAACTCTGTGGTATGAGGTCGTTGACTTGCGCGACAATGATAGACGTCGAAGTTGTGTTTTCATTTTTTAATTAGATCCTTCCGTATTCGGATAGATGCTTTTATTTTACCCTTTTCCCCCTGTTTCACTTCCTTGTTGCTGTCAGCTGTCGACTGCACTGAACAACAACAAAACCTACATAAGAGACAGTATTCTGTTGCAGCTTTGATCTCTAAAATGAGTCGCCTGCTGCGGAAGATGAATCGCAACTTTGGAACGTGTTGCTCACGTGTTGCTTTGGGTGGAGATGCACGTGCTCGCTGCCTTGTCTCGTCTTCACAACTGATGCACACATGTTTGTTCTCTGCAGTCATGCACACCCTCCATTCCTTTTGCGCTCCCTAAACTCACCTGTTCTCTTGGAAATTCAACTTCCCAAGCAATACAACGTGCACCGTGGTTCAGCTTTCATGCTGCGACGCACTCAACGACTGTCCCGCCTCACCTTCGAGGGCCTCCTGTGTGGGGTGCGTCCGGAGCTGCCGCCACCGCAGACACTGGCGGCGGCTTGCACACACGCCACGGAGCAGTTCATGACGCAGTGCAGCAGCAGTGCCCCGCTGCCCATTGCCTTGGCGGCGACCACAGTAGCCTCGCTACTCATGCAGAAGCGGCTGCGAGATGCGGCAGGCGTGCTGTCCCTGCACCCCCATCTACCGCAGGTGCTGCGCGCCGTGCGGGACTACGTGTGCCGCTACCCGGACGTCTTTCCTCTCGACACGCTGCGGGAGATGTCAAAGGAGGCGAAGTGCGTTAGCGCGGCTGCCGTTACCACCTTCTTGCAAGCAGCGGTACATCGGTTTCTCTGTCAGCTGCCTCCGAGCTCCGCAGTGCAGCCGGGTCCAGATGAAGAGGCGCAGAAGTGGGATGCCCAGCGAGAGGAGTTGCGAGCGCTGTTGACGCGTCACGTACGCTTTCATCCGTTCTCGGCCGCCTCTCTGCTCCGTCCACTCTGCGTCCTCAGCGAGGGCACGGCGGCGGAGCGCGAAGACGTGATGGAAGTGATGCGCACTGCCATGCAGCAGCAGAGAATCAATCCGGCTGATTTCGGCTACGTGCTGGAAGTCCTGCTGCGCGGCGACGAACCGCGACGTGCGGCGCAGATGTGGGAGTGGGTGCAGCACACGTCTGCTTGCTGGGACACCCGCGCCGTATCGGCCGCCGTCATGGCGTTTGCTCAGCTCGGCAAGTTGGACGAGGCGGTCGCGTGCATGCAGCGCCTGGCGGAGGCGGGCAACGACCCGTCTACCGCGGCACAGGTGGCATTTATTCGCTTTCTCGGCGAGCGCTCCCTGCCACTGTCGCAATACGCCGATCAGCTTGTTCACCATTGGTGTCCCTCCGAGGAACAGCTGTGGCGCGGTGCTGGGCAAGACGTCGGCATCGAACTCATTAAACTCCGCTGCCGATGCGGTCTGCATGCCGAGGCAGTCGAATTGTTAGAGGCTGCGTACAGGACCAACGTCGATGCACCCGCTGAGCTGCACCGGTTCTTGCGGCACCCACATGTTGCGGTGCTCGCCCGCCGTTACGCACCCCTTACCTCGGAGAATAAAACGCTGCAGCAGCTGTTTCTCGACACGCTGCTGCGTACCCCAACGCTCGCGGCGGACCGGCCGGACATGGTCGGCCTTCTTCTCTGCTTAGGGGTGGCAGCGCATCGGCTGCCGGAGGTGTACGCGGCGGTGGAGCAGTTGTCGTTGGATGCCGACGCCTTTCAGCAGGCCCTTAACTTTTTTGCTCGCCGTGGCGCCTCCAAGACGGCGCAAGCGGCCGATGTGCTGGCGTGCATGGAGGAGGTGGCGTCGCGCACCGGTAATGTGGTGCCAGCAGAGCTGAAGGTTTGGCTGCAGCTGGCAAAGGAGATGTAGATGAGCAGCCCGACACGTGTTCATTGCGCTTACGTTTATCGTGATTGAGTTGCGTTCCTCTGTGGATTTTTAGCAACTCTCCTCTTACCTTTTCTCGCGACCGCCTCATGCTCGCCGTGTGGGGAGTAACCAGATTTGAATGAACGCGACACAATCGCACGTGCGGGAGCTCGATAGGCCGACGTAGATATGCCAAACGTCAGCGGGCACGATGAACTGAGTAGCCCACGCTGGGGATTTGTCTTCTGCTGCGTTGCATCATCTGCGTGTCCGCGTGTCGCTGTATGTGCGCGCGTTTTGCGTGTAAAAGAATGGACGCTTTGTTGTTGTTGTTGAACCTTGGGAATGAAAAGTTGCTACCGTTTTTTCCTTCTAACGAAAAACTCAATAGACGACGCACGCAACTGGTGCCGTGGCACTCAGCTGCGGTTTTGACTTTCAAGCAGCCTGATGATGACAGTAATAAAATGGTGAAAGGGCGTAAACGTTTCCCGGGGTGACGTGCATGCTTGGAGCTGCCATCTTCCTGCGCATCTCACTTCTTAGATAGCACAGGTACACCGCACGTCTTGCTGTTTCTTTTACTGTCCTTAAGGCCCAAAGGCTCTCTATCTACTTTCTTCCCTTACCTGGTACCTGTTGGATCTCCTAGGTTGACCGTTGTCACGTGAGGTTGAATACACGGTCCTCACAGTGCTTCTTTTCTCATCGCGCGAATGTGTCTAGAGTGGTTCTCCTGCCTCCTTTACAAGAAACGAAAGCGCAACACAAAGAGAAAGGTTGGTAGGCGGGCGTCTCGTGGCACGCCAGGCAAAGAATGGTGTCCGATTCCATGAAGCATTTTGGCCTGCTCTGCCGCCAGGTCACAGCAGAGCCGTCGCTCACTATCAAGCAAGAAATCATTCGTGGATTTCTCTCGCGGTTCACGGGCGACACCGGTCTGCTGCTCAAACTGCTTCTTCCGAAATACGCGCAACGCGTCTACTACATTCAGGACAAACAGCTACTGCGTGTGCTGTCCCTCGTCCTGCGCGTGGACGAAGCCGCGCTGCGGGATAAGCTGAACAGCAACGGCTGCATCGCCGAGACCGCGTGTGCGTACTTCCACCCAACGGTAGCCGTCGACTCGGACGGCTGGTGCGGCATGACGCTGACGGACTTCGATGCATTTTTGAATAGCATGGCTGTGGCAACCGTGGAGACAGAGCGCGTGCCCCTCTTACAGCATTTCTTCCAAGTTGCCTGCAGTAACGTGGTGTACTACTTCTTTCGTGAAATCAAACAGGATTTGCGTCTCGGCGCGGGTCTTCGCGTCGTGCTTGGCGGCCTGCACCCCAGTGCGTACACCGTGTTCCAGAACTGCGCCAACGTGCAGGAGGTGGTGCGTCGCATCCAGGCCAGCACGGCGGTCAGGGCCCCGGCTTCCGCAGCGACCGGCAGCGGTAGCGCCTCTGCCGCCCTTGATGCCGTCGACGGTGACGACGACGACGAAAACAGCAGAGGTGACGGTGTTGCCGGTGGGGTGAACACGGCCATCAGCATCGGCATCCCGCTCGCACCTATGCTGGCCGCACCGGCACGCTCAATTGCCCAAATTGTAGCCAAGTGCCCCAACGGTGCCTTCTCGGAGGTGAAGTACGATGGGGAGCGCATTCAAATTCACAAGAGAGGGAGCAAGCTCACGTTTTTCGCGCGCTCCCTTCGCCCGATGCGCGCGGACAAGTTTGCTGGGTTGGAGCCTTTCATTCTCCAGGCGATCAAAGCGGATGACTGCGTGTTGGATGGCGAGATCCTTATGGTGGATGTCCGCACTTCGGTTCCCCTGCCGTTCGGCACGCTTGGCAAGCACCGCCGCACGCAGTTCAGCAGCGCCTGCCCGTGCGTTTTCCTCTTTGACGTTCTCTTCTCCAACGGCCGGTCACTGCTGAAGGCGCCGCTCGAGGAGCGCCGCGAGGAGCTGAAAAAGAACGTGCAGTTTATCCGTAATCGCGTCATGTTCTCAGAGTTGTGCCTCATCGAGGGCCGCCCGGAGCAACGGGAGGCGCTGCTGCACCAGCACCTGCAGCGTGCCATCGCGGAAGGTCTGGAAGGGCTGGTGATCAAGGACAGGAAGAGTGTTTACGAGCCCCGTGCGCGGCACTGGCTCAAGATCAAGAAAGACTATCTTGATGGTCTCGCTGACTCGGCCGATCTGCTGGTGCTCGGTGCGTGGTTCGGCAGCGGCAACAAGGGCGGTCAGCTCTCCACCTTTTTGATGGGCTGCGTGGACCCCTCCGTCTCGCCAGGAGGGCCAGGTCGCTTCAAGACGGTCTGCAAGGTTGGCAACGGCCTCAACGACAACCAAATCTCCGCCATCTCTGCCGCGTACACGACACGCATGATGTCCACTGCGGCCTCGAGAGACGGCCAGCGCGGCGTCCCAGCGTGGCTAGACTGCCCATCGTGCCACCTGCCCGACATGGTGTTGCGCGATCCGGCGACGGCGGACGTGATGGAGGTGATCGGCGCCGAGCTCTTGGTGACCAAGACGCACACGAGCGGCATCTCCGTCCGCTTCCCGCGCATCCTGAAGATGCGCACCGACAAAACAGTGGACACGGCAACGACTTTGCGCGAGCTGCAGCAGCTGTTTCGCACCTCGAAGGAAAAGCTGTCCTCGGCAGGCGTGGACACCTCGCTGCAGCTCGCGGACAGTTACACCGTCATGCCGGAGGAAGAGGACAGCTCCGCGAGCGGGCCGCCTGATACCTTTCACACCACGTCTTCTGGCCAGGCAGCTCGCACCCCCACTCCACCACCTCGGAGTTCCTCGTTGCTGTCCTCACCGGAGCGAAGTCGCCGCACCGCGCCGGCCGCCGTGACGTGCGTTGCGATGGGCGACGTCACGGCACCGTCGATCCCCTCGACGGAGTCCTTTGTCATCTTTCATTCCGTCGCCGTCCAAGGACGGTGGTCCGTCCGGGGGGTTATGCGGCGCATCAGCGAGGCCTACGGACCCTCCGCTGGTAAAGCCTACGACCAGGCCGCCGCGTCTAGCGTGCTGGGCCAGGTAATTTATGCCGAGGTGGGCCCTGTGAGTCGGCCAGGACGTGTGTTTGTGGCGTCTGCCGTTGCACAGCGCACCGCACCTCCTGGCCAAGTCCCGCCGGTGGACCAACGCGCGTTGGAGAAGGCGCTGCTGAATGCCGCTACGTACGCCCAGCGCAACTGCGCCTCGTTGCACGTCGTCATTCCCGCGGCGGAGACGCAGGTGCAAGTGCCACCGTTGCTGGAGCTGTTCGATGGCCTCTGCGCCCGCTTCGACGTGCCCATAACCGTCTACGGTGCGCCGCCACACTCAACGTCGGCGCGGCAAGCGGCGGCACCGCAGGCAGCGGCGCCTCGCATTGATCGCGGGGGCAACAGCAGCGGGCCGGCACGCACGCTCCCTCCGCCACCGCCACCGCCGCCGCCGCGGCCCGCCACCCCGCCAGCACCCGCCGAAGACGACGAAGACGAAATCGAAGATGAACTCGCAGCGCCAGCGCTTGCCGCATCGTCTTTCTGTGCCGATGCACCCCTGCGTTTCTCGCGTGGCCGTGGCCGCCGCTATGCCTTGCTGCGCGATGTTGTGGCTCAGATTGTGCACTCCCCCTCCGACGATGGTGCCGCTGCGGCTGCTGGCGATGCCCAGGCCCTGCTGGAGCTGATGCAGGGCCGTTGCGTGGCGCTTTCCGACCGCTACGATGCTGCAGTGCCGTGCACGCACGCACTCGTTGTCGGGGATGCGCCCGTCCCTCCTTTGGGAGGTGCGAAGCGGCACTCGGTGTTTGTGTTGAGTGCCGAATGGGTGCGCGACTGCTTTCACGACGGAGTGCGGTACTCCGAATGCTTGTACAAGTTGGGCAGTGCACGACCTACGGCACACCTGCTGGACGGGCAGTGTCTGCTCTTCAGTGCAGCTCTGCTGCTAAAGGACGCGCACCGCTGGCGTCGACTCGCCGTGCTGCTCGGTGCGACGGTGCACCAGTCGTGGCACGTGGTCGGGCAGCGTACCAGCTTCGCCTTGACGGACGCGTGGGACGATGAGTGTGCGGAGGTGTACCGGCTAGGTGGGTGGGTGGTGCACTGCCAGTGGCTGGAGGACTGCGCGATGGCTGCGGCCGTCCTGCCCCTCGACGCCTACGTGTTCTCGCCCGCGACTGACGGTCAGCTCAGCAGCTCAAAAGGTGCTCGCCGTCCGCTGGCAGGTAAATCGGTGTGCCTCTGGCCCAATGTTGACATTGCGGCTCTTCCGTCGAATCCAGTGGCGTCTTTGTGTGGTGATGAGCTCGGTGCGACGTTGGTGGCTAGTCCCGCCGACGCCGATCATGTGTTGTTGATGATGGATACGGCGGCAGAGCGTCAACGGGCTGCGGCAGCTGTCGGCACAAACGAGCACAAGCTTGTGAACATGGAGTGGCTGCGGCGCTGCGCTGCTGCGGGAGAATACCAGACGCCCACCTCGCTGCCTCCTTTGCGGAGCGGCGAGTCACCAAAGCACGCCCACGAGGCCGTGTGCGAAGATGGCGAAGCCGTCGAGACAGCCTCAAGAGAAACGTCCAGCACCGCATCGGACAGCAGTCTTGAAGACGCGTAGCACTGCAACTCGCCGCGTCGTTGTGGTGCTTTGTGGGGTTTATTTCCCTCTGTTCTTTTTTCTTTTCCGTCTGCGCCTGTGTAGATGCTCGTTTTGCATTTTATTTGAATCCTCTTTATCGGTTTTTTCTTCTTCTCCGGTTCTCCAAAACGACGACTTCCGCTCTCTTCGGTATCCTGTAGCGTGCTGGATGCAGCGCTCTGCGCATGTTGTTTCCTTTCTCCTTCCTCCGCTCGTAACGCAGCGTCGCTTTCGTGCAGCGCAAACGCGACCCTTTTATATTCCACTCTTTTTGTTTTCTGGTCTGGTTCAACCAGTGCGGTGACGACAACACTTCTCGTTGTGGTGTTCGTGGCGCTGATCTTTCAGAAAAGAGAAGTTTTCGATGTACAGGGGCTTTTTAGCGCTTACAAAAAGAAACGGAATGAAAGCGGTGTGGCGAGGGATTGAAGACATTATGTTTTTCTTCGTGCAGTGCGCACGGACCTACTGGAGTGCGTCGCCGGCGGATGTCACCCATCGTATTTTTGTGTCCTGTCACCGAGCGAGTTTCTTCACCGCTCAACGATTCAATGACGTGCAGTCTTTTTCTTTTCCGCCTGCTTGTGTGTTCGCCTCCGCCTCTACCATTCTAAATGCCCACCCTCCTTTCCCTTTGAATGTTGACTTCCTTCAACACTCGTTGCTCGGCTCACCTGCTCCCCTGCGGCCCTCGCTGTCACCACCAAACAAAGTTGCTGCCCGACAGCCGTCCTGTCCGGTTGATTTTGTTTTGATTCTTTTGTTTTTTTTTCTGCTTAGCTTCGATCTTTTTTTTTTTCATTTCTCTATTACCCTTTAGATCGCGTGTTCCTCAATGAGCCGAGCCATCGAAAGGAGCAGCACGGCCTCGAGTGCGCCGCCGCTGGACTTGCTGCACAAGCTGCAGCTCTTTCGCTCCACCTTGGTGAACTTTTTAGAATGGCGCAACTTCGGCGACGTCGTGCACGGTTGCTACGTGCGTGTCCTCTTAGAAATGCGCAGCAACGATGAGAACCGCCGCGAGAGCCCAGACAACTACTACATCGCACTCGTGAAGGGCGCACAGCGCGGCCCGGTTTACTCCGGCTTCTCCGCGGACGCCGTCACCACGGAATGGCACATCGTCATTGAGCTGCCCCCGTGCTTCCGATCCACGCAGAACGGCAACGTTGTGCAGCTGAACTCCATCTCGAACTCGCCCTTTCGCCAGGCGGAGTACCAAAATTGGGTGGTGATGACGAACGAAACGCGCGAGTTGAGCTTCCCGAGTCTCCCGCAGCTGCAGTTTCGGCTTGGGATGTTGGAGGAACACAAGCAGCAGGCGCTCGCACCGGAGCCGCGGCGCCGCAAGACGGGTGAGGACGGGCAGGCCGCCGCTTTGCGCGAGCGCATGATGGAGGAGCACCGCAAGCGCATTACAGATGAAATACTCGCCACGCATGTGAAGATGCGCCGCATTGCGCAGCTGAAGACGCTCTCGCTGGAGGAGCTGCAAGAGGCGGAGCGCGAGATCCTCGACATGATTACCAACGTGCGGGTAGCCATCAACGAGCGCTCCAAGTGCATGCTGTGTCATAACCGCCTTTGCACGGAGATCTGCTACCCGTGCAAGCACCAGGTGCTATGCAAGGACTGTGCCAAGTCCATTCACGGTCACTGCCCCGCACCGGGCTGTGTGGCGCCGGTGCAGTACACATTCGAGGCGTTCACGTCGTAATCTCCGCCTGTAGACAGAGACACCCGCACCAAACGTTCTTGCACGGAAGGGAAGGCACGTTCGGTGCTGCATCTCTTTCGGCGTCTCAACGCAAAGCGGTTCGAGGGTGTTTTTTTTTGTATTTTTAACATGTGAAGTCGCCACACAGGGAACTCGTAATTCCATCGCATCATCTCATCCGGGTGGAACAATCGTTTGAATTTAGTGCCTTTTCAGGGGGCATGTTCTTTTCGAAACGGTGACTTTATTGTGCTGCTTTTTCTCGCTTTCTAATGTTTGGCTCCCCGTGGCAGCGGTCACTGCCGTTGCTGTCGATCTCTCAGGTGTGAGTGTGTGTGTGTGTGTGGCAAGCATACTGCCGCCCGTCACTTGCATGTGGGGCAACAAAGGAATATATTTGTATATGAGCCAGTTCCAATTATATTTGTTTCTTTTGCGTTCTTTCATGTCTCATCGCTTGATTAACAAAAGGGACTCCTTCCTTTCAGTCTTCCGAAGCGCTGCCGCATCGCCCCGACAGAGCGGACCACCAAAAGCCGCAACAACAACGAAAGCGCCGCGAACAGCTGGCAGATCTTTTTCTTTTTTTTTCCCGATCCCCCCTCGCGCAGCGTCTCTTGTAGGGGAAGCCGCATCAGGTGCACCAAGGCGCGTCTCCTGGCCATCGTCTCTTGAAGTAAGCGAGCCATCACTCCTCCTAACTGCGCTTTTTTTTTGATTCTTTTTCAGGCACCTCATGTCGCCTAAGAAGCCAACGGCGAAGCATGTTCAGTGCGCCTCGTGAAAGCACCTACGCCGTGATGGCCGCTTAACGGGCCACGCGTGTGTGGGTGCGTGACAAGCGTACTCGCGGTGACGCCGCCGGTAACGTGGTCGCCTTCACACGCGGTCTTGTGGGCGTTGAAAGGCGGCCATCACCTCGACTCTCTACCGTGAGATTCCTCCCTCTCCCTTCTCGCTCTTCTTTCAAAAACACGTCCTTCAGCACGTCAAAGAATTCTCCCACGTGTCATCGGCGTCTCAACCGGCAGCTGCGCTGTAAGGGAGACCGCTGAATTGTGTTGGGAAAAGACTGCACATCTGCGTCGAGTACGCCGACGCCGCTCTCCTCCTACCACGGCATTGTGGGTGTCATTCGTCGCGTCTTCGCGGCTTTGCGAGGGAGCTCTCCATCATCTACTGTATTATTACTGTTACTTCGATTATTCTTCTGCATCAAATTCGTTGTTGCGTGCCGTCCTCTCTTCACCTTCTGCGGAATGCAAAACAAAAACTTTCCGTTTCAGGCGGTGCCGCAGAGTCACTGGCCGCTCACCTCCTCAGCGCACAAATGCGTCGTGTGTGGGAAGACTTTCGGCCTCTTTCAGACCGCCGAGAACTGCCGAGGCTGCGGTCGAGTGTGCTGTTCCAGCTGCCTGTCCGACCACCTTGTGTTGCCCGGCCAGCCAGGGACGGCGCCGGTGCCGGTGTGCCAGATATGCGCCGACTCCATCACCCGCACCTACGAAGAGGCGGAAATGACGATGCAGCGCTGCCAGCTTCTGGAGGAAATTGTAAATGAGCAGGCGCTGCAGGCGGAGAAGACGCGAAGTGACCTGCGGGAGCAGCAGGAAGAGAACAAGCTGCTGCGGCATGAAAAGGAGCAGCTGAAGGCGACGATTGCGCGAATGGAGATCGAGGCGGAGGTGGCGGCGGCAAAGGTGGAGGCGACAACACGAGCCACCGCTGCGTCAACGCCACCTGCTGTTGCCTCACCCACCGCCTCGCCCGTGAAGCCGGACAGCGACACTAATGCGCTGGGCGACGGCGCCCTCTCCGAGGGGAGTCTCGCGGCGATGGAAGAGAAGTTGAACAAAAAGAAGCGCCAGCTCGACATGCGCGAGGCGACGCTGAAGGACGCCCTCAAGAAGGTCTCCGCTGATGCCGCCAAGAACGCCGATCAGCGAGCGGCGCTGCAGGAGCAAGAGAAGCAGCTGACAGCGTTGGTGACGTCAAAGTTCACGGCCCTCTTTGAGGAAGAGCGTCAGCGACTCGAGGACATGAGCACAGACGCAGTGACAGACATGCAGAACCAGTTCGTAGCCTGGGTAGGACAGCAACAGGACGGAGTTATCGAGCGCCGACGCAAGTACGAGCAGCTGATGGAGGAGCGCCAGCACCGGACGGCAGCGGAGCTCGTCGAGATGCGGACCAGCCGGGACGCCCTGCAACGTCAGCTGGAACTTCAAACGAGAGAAATAGAGAAGCTGCAAGCCGAGGCGCGTAATGCAGCGGCGGCACACTCGATGCTGGTAGGGGCGGCTGCCCAACAACAGCAGGAGCAACAGCAACAACAGGAAGACAGAACGGAGCAACAGGAATTGAATCAGGGCGCAATCGCTGCCACGCGACGAGCCGAAAAGGCGGAGGGCGAAGTGCACCGGCTGCAGGCGGAGCTCGATTCCACGAAAGCACTTTACACGGAGGAGACCCAAGCCCGCGAGATCGCGTCGGCCGCGTACCAGTCGGAGCAGCGGCAGGCGCAGCAGCGACTCGAAGCCTTGACACAGGGCTTCCGTGCGCAGCAGGAGGAGGCGAAGGCTGATCGAGATGCCGCTGTCGCAGCTGCCCGGCAGGCGGCGGCGGAACATCATGCGCAAGAGCTGGCGGCACAGCAGGAGCGTCTGGAGGCGAAGGCGGCTGCGGACGTTGAGGCTGCTGTGCAACGTGAGAGGCGACAGCACGCAGCGGCGATGGAGAGGGACAACGCCCAGCACGGAGCGGAGAAGGAAGCTCTGGAGAATACCGTAAAGGAGTTGGAGCGTCGGCTGCAAGAAGCGGTAATGGCCGAAGAGCAACAGCCGCTCGATGCCCCGCCAAAGCCAACTGTGGAAGAGGCAGAGCAGAAGGAAGAAGCCGCAGCAGCAGCGTTGGCACATCTCCAAGAACTCCACTTACATGAAGCAGCAGCGTGGGCGGCAAGCCAAAATCAGTTGGAGGCGCGGCTGCGCGAGGCGGAGAGTCAGAGAGAGGACACGCTGAAGGACAGTGCGGCGGCCTTCGCCAGAGCTGCACAGGAGCACGCCGCGACAGTGGCAGAACTTACTGCAGAGCACCAAAGAGAAAAGGCAGCGTGGGAGACGAAGACGACGCAACTCAAACGCGCACAGGCGCAGCAGGAAGATGGGCTGCAGCGCCAGGACAAGACGTGGAGGGAGGAAAAGGCCGCACTGTTGAAAACGTGCAACGACCTCGAGGCCCGCCTGGAGACGCGAAAGAAGGCGGCGTGGCAGCTGCAGCAGCAACTGCGCGACTGCAAGCAGCAACTTTCCGAGTTGCAGGCGCAGTATCAAAAGAAAGCGACGGAGGAGGAGACGGCGACGGTGGCGCAGTCGCGGGCGGCGACGACGCTGCAGCGAAGTGCTGCGGCACTTGTGAAGGAGGTGCAGCAGGCACAGCAGCGGGTATTGACGGAGCACACCGCTGCCGTCACCCACATCCGCAGCGAGCTTCAGGAAACGGCGAAGGCAGCGTCTGCCGCCTCGAGTCAAAAGAAGACGCGGGAGGCGGTGAAGCAGCTCGCATCACAGGTGGCAAGCGTGAAGGAAGAGAAGGAGGAAGTGCAGCAGCAGCTCAAGGCGGAACAGGAGAGGCGGAGCAACGCTGAGGCAAAACTGGAGAAGTTAAAAGCGTCGTTGTATTCGATGCAGAGTACGGAGCAGCAGCAGCGGCAGACAATGGCGGAGCTGCAGGAGAAATACCATCATGTTGCGGACGAGTTGGAAGCCGTCAAAGCGGCCAAGGCAACGCAGGCTGCTCTCAGCGAGTCCCCCTCGCCTTCTCCCAGCCGATCTCTAGAGAATGAAACGCACCTTCTCGGAGTGCAGCAGCATTGGGTGCAGCAGCAGGCGCACGTGGAGGGACTCTACGCCATGGCGTTGACCACGGTGCTGCAGCATGAGTGGTCAGCTGCCATGGACGTGGTGGTGGAGCATCTCGCGTCGGAGGCGTGGAAGCAACGACAGATGCGCGCCCGCAACGCCACAGCACTGGAAAACACGACAAGCACCATCAGAGAGGTGCAAGAGGACTTGCGCGTACGCGCGCAGGCGTTAGTACAGCGGCAAACTGAAGTAGAAGAGCAGGAGCGCCGGATAGCTGAGAAGAAGAAACGAGTAGACGCGGTCTGCCGCGACCTCTACGCGGTGGCGAAGGAGCTGCGCACGAAGCATTTAGACGGCACCGACTGCGCCGGCGTGGAGCAGCTTGTTCGCTCTGCACGTGTCGTGGGCGAGGATGTGTAGCGTACGTACTCTCGGCGAGCTGGTGCCACCTTTATCTTTGCGCTCTTGATGTTCGCATCTTTTATCATTGTTATTACTATTTTTATCTTTAAGGTTGTTGCTTTTGGAAGCCAACGTCAGTGCAGCAACGTTGTTTAGCTGCTGTGGCGTCCTTTCATTCTTTAAACTGTCTTGTCATGTAACCGCTGCTGCAGTCACGTACAAACCGCAAAAGGCGAAGTGAAGTTGAAAGAGGAGCCACACGACGGTACGTTATCGATGATGTATGTGCTGTCGTTGCCGCTCAAAGGTGCAGGGTCTCTTGAAAATGAAAGGAACGCCTCCTACCTGATTTCATACGGACGACGCTGTGCAATCGAAGACACAGGCGGTGCCCATAAGCTGGACGCTCGACATCGATGGTTTGACAGCTAGCTGGACAGCTCGCATGAGACCACTGCACATGCTCTTTCCAACTCTCTCCCTCTATCTCCACGGAAACCTCGTGGCTTGTTTCTTTGCTGCTGTTGTTTCTCCTGTTCCATTATGTCCTCCTCTGGTGCTGCTGCTTGCTTTTCATTTCAACTATGTCAGCACACCGTATCACGCAAGGAAGAGACTCTCTCTGAGAGGAACCGCCAAGCAGCAGTCGATTTCTTCATTGCAGCGCGTACAACGGGGCTTGAGGCACCTTCACGAAATACGCCAATCGGATCGCTTTCGTTAGAAGGTGCGGCTCCCCCCCCCCCTCCCTCCCTCCTTCTCTTCACGTACAGATCGCGGTGTTCGCTCCACGATACATCAACTTTTAGAAGTGGAGCGCACCACCAAAAATGGAAATGACTTCCTTTTCCAGGTCTGCCCTAGAGATCCTGCAGGCCGCAGAGGAGGTTCTCACCCAACCCCGCCACGTCCGCAGCCAAAAGAAACCCACACCTGCGTACGCATACAAGAGCACCATAGACTACAACGACATGCACAACGGTCGCGCCGCGCATCAGGATCCGAACTGCAACGGTCACAGCGTCGCCGTGCCAGAAGCGTCCACCGTTCGAGAGCTGCAGAGTCAGCTGAGTCGCGCGATGCGAGAGCTCATTGAACTGCGCGCCGAACTCGCCGCTGAGCGCGACCGCCGCAACGACACCCTGGCGGCGCTGGGGAAGCAGTGGAAGGAGGAGGTGATGGTCGTCGTGCATCGCCGCGACTCCGCCCTGCAGTCCGATGTGGCCGAAGTCGAGGAGAAGCTCACGGCGCAGTGGAGAGAGAGCAACGAGAGCTGCGTGGTTCTTCGGCGACAGCTGGAAGAGGCCGTGCGAGCTGCGAAGGTGCGCGACACCGATCGCTTTCAGCTGCGCGAGGAGCTGCAGGAAACATCGCGGCAGATGGACGAGCGGGTGGAGGTGGCGCTGGCGCAGAGCACCGCCGCCCGAGCAGACTGCAGCCGTCAGCTCGAGCAGGAGCGGGCGGCCCTCGCACAGCGGCTAGACGCGGAGCTGCTGCGGCTGGTCGAGATGCGGCGTGCGGACCAACGGGCGCTGCAGGAGGCGCGAGAGGCGCTGCGACAGGACGGCCAGCGCATGCGCGGTGAGGTGCAGCGGGCGGTACAGGAGGTGTGGGAGTCGTCCGCCGCCGCCCTCATCAAGACGGCCACCGAACCCGTCGAGCAGCTTCGCGCGGAGCTACGACAGTGCAGGGCAGCGGTGCAAAGCGCAGAAGAAAAAGTGGCGGACTGCGTGCGCAGCTGCCAGGCGGAGTGTCGATTGAACACGACGACCGCAGCGGAGCGGCTGCACGCGCTGGAGTCGAAGGAAGCCGTCGCCACGTCGCGCATCGACCGGGCGGAGCGGAGGGCCGACGGCGCCTACGAGACGGTCCACCGAATGGAGTCCGCCGTGCAGGGCGCCAAAGACGCTGCCGAGCGGGCGCAGCTGCAGGCCGCCGGTGCGCTGGAGCGCACGCAGAAGGTTGAGCACGCCCTCAGCGACCGCGACGCGCGCCTCCTCGCGGTGGAGTCCAACCTGCATGCCGTGTCGACCGCCGAGGGTTTGAAGGCGGAGGTGGAGGCGTGCAAGCGGCAGGCCGGCCGGCTCGAGAGTCGCATGGACGCCACCGGCGCCCTCTGTGAACGAGCCGAGCAGCTGGCGGATAAAACAGTTCGGCAGGTAAGCGAGTTTAGCAACCGCGTCTCCAGCTGCGAGAAGTCGATGCAGAGAGGCGTCGCGGCGGTGCAGGGCGTGCAAGAGTCGATGGAGGTCTGCCAGGCCGACTGTCAGCAGATCCGCGCCCAGTATGAGGTGAGTGAAGGGGTGGTGCAGCGACACGGGCAGCTCATGACGCAGCTCGAACAGCGCATCATGGGTCAGGAGAACCGCCTAGGGCTGTGGAGGCAGCAGCAGGAACAGCACGCGAGGGATCAGCAGACAGCCCAGCGGGAGATGACGGAGAGAGCGGAGGTGATGCATGCGACGGCGACCCGGGCCCAGCAGGTCAGCAGCGACGCACGGGCGGAGGTGAGCCGGCTGGAGCGGCGCGTCGACGATGTGGACCGCGCTCTCACGTCCGCCTCGGCGGAGGTCACCGCCGTGCGTGCAGCAGCGGAGAGCCTGCGGACGCAGGGGTTGGAGATGCAGCGGCAGCTGCAACAGCAGGAGGATCAGCTGCAGCAGGCGGAGGCACGAGTGCTGGAGGTGGTGGGGCCGCGGACGGAGTTGGAGCACAACGTGGCACAGCGCTTCGAACGAAGCGAGTCGCATGCGGAGCGTCTCGGTCAGAAGTTGGCGCAGTGCGAGAGGAAGCTTCAAGAAATGGGAGGGCGAGTGCAGGACTACTTGAACGACGCCATTCAGCGTCACGTAGGCGAGTCGCAGCGACAGCTGCTGTCTGCGCTAAGCGAGGGTCTCTCGCGCGTGTCGGAGCGGGTGAGCACTGTGGAGAGCACCGTGACGGAGGTGCAGGCCAGGAGCGGCGACATGCCGAGCCAGGTTCAGTCGCTGCAGAAAACCTCGTCGGCACTGCAGCGCAGCCTGCAAACCCTCGAGGAAGATCTTCAAGCGTTACGTGGACACGTGGATCAGCTCTCTCTCCACGCCGAAGGGCAGAGTGGCGATCACCAGCAGCTCGGCGCGGTGCGACAGGAGGTGGCACGACTAACGGCCGTGCAGCAACGACTCCAGCAGGATCTGCTGCAGCTGCAGGAGATGATGCGGACCTTACGCGAGGTGCAGCTCGCCGCAGCTGGTCAGCCGCGAGATCCGACGCTCAGCCAACTCGGTGGGTCGCAGGCGCAGACCGCCAGCACCGAGATCGCACGCACAACCGAGGCGGACTCCTCCTCACCCTCCGCGCGCGTTCCCACTGGTACGGGCCAGCAGTCTTCGCCGCACACCGCTGCCATCGAGCCGCGGCAGCCGACGAGCGCCGCGGTGACGCCGCCACTCGTGGCAAGCCACACAAAAATGGCCCCGACGCTGCAGGCGCAGCAGGACCGGCAGCGCGCCTCGTCGAGCAGCACCAACGGCGGGAGCAAAGACAGCAGCGTCGAGCGGCCCCCGTCGCACCTCAGCGGCGTTTCCTCCGTGCGACCGGCGGAAGAAGAGGTGGCGCAGCTGCACTCCGTCGCTGAGCCCGCCGCCGGCACAGCCTCTTCACCTCCCGATAGCGACGATGACGACAACGACAGAGTTGACGCGTTGCAACCCAACGTGAAGTCCTACGTGCGGTCTCCACAGAGGACTGGGCTGCCCAGCGTGCACGCGGTGGCGATCGCGAGCTTGTGCGGTGCGGCCGAGACGGTCGAGCAGCTCAGCGCACCGGTCGTGTCGTCCTCCGTGCCGGCGCCGGGGCCTGTCAACACGAGCCACCCAACTGTCATTCGTAGCTTCGCCACCGTTGACACGGCGTCGTCGGACAGCGATATTGAGGTGGAGGATCTGCGGCCGCAGTCAACGAGGGCGAGGGCGGCAGCAGAGGAAGAGGAGGAGGAGCACGCAGACGACGCCTCGAGCGAGTTGACGACGGCCGTCACGCTGACAAGTGAGGAAGCCGTCACGCCGACCACGTCAGGCAGTCGTCGCACGCGGCCCGCCACGGCGCAACGTCGCACCGTCGCGATGGCCGCAGCGTGGGGACAGCCGCAGCCGTCGCCGACGGACTCCCCACCGGACCACACACCGCTGGCGCCGCCGAGTGCCGCCCGACCCGCAAACGCGCAGGAGGGGGCAACAGAGGAGGTACGGAGGACAGAGACGGTGCAGTCACCCGCGTCGAACGATGACGAAGGCGACGGCGACAGCGATGCGGTGCAGGCGCTGATCGCACAGTCCTCCTATGACGAGGACGACGCAGATGATCGGAGCGGCGATGGGCTGCTGCGACGCCGACCAGGGACGAGAACGCAAGGAGGCAACGCATGGGCAACCACTCAAAGGGCCGCCGCACCGCCACACCCGCAGCAGCCGGCAGGGGCGGGGAGTTCGGTGCCGGCACCGCGACGTCCGCAGTGGGACGACTGGGACGAGGAAGACGCCGAGGACGACGGCGACGGCGACGACGGTCGCAGCAACAACAGCGTCGTCGAAGACGTCTCCACACCCGCAGCGCCGGCACACTGCAGCCTCCACGCCGGCGCGGCTATGGCGACGAGCAACATCGAGGAGGTGGAGGAGGTGCCCATCGCGGCGCCGCCACAGCCCTCTGCGACGTCCGCAAACACGAGTGCCTCGTCAGCGTCGCCGAGTCAGATGGCGGCCACCACCGTGCACCACCGCAGCGCCGGCGCCGGTGCCGTCGAGGAGCTGCGGGCAACGGAGCGGCGGATCTTTGTGGGAGCGGCGGGGAGTGCCCTCGCCGGCTCACCGGAGCCCCGATACGTCGTGCCACGCCACGGCCAGAACACAACGTCGTCGTCGTCGTCGTCAGCGGAGCGGGCGGAGGCGCTCGGGCTGCGGACGGCGGGTCAGGCCGCACCGGCCCAGCGGTCTGCGTTGCAGGTGCGACAGTACAGCAGCTTTGACGACTCCAGCACGAGTGACGACGACTAACGTCTTCGCTGCGGCACTGCAGGACTTGGCACCTACCTTTGATGTTCCTTTACTGTACCGAGTGCTGTGCTTGTAAAGCGGCGTACTGCTTTCATAGAATTGTACGGAGAGTTTGTTTTCTCTCCTGGTTTTCAGCCAGCTTCTCCACGTAGAACACAACACATATATACCGCGCATACGCGGGAAAGAAAGGCAGAGAGAGATCAACTTGCGGGAATGCTTCAGCCACATCAATCAGGGATGTCGGCGGTGTGATGCATCAGTGTGTGTGTGTGTGTGTGTGCTTTGTGTCAAAGCACATGGCAGGTTCGAGAATGGCACAACAGCGTTGCTTCCAAGCTGTACGCTATCTCCGTAAGAGTTCTTTTTTCAATCATTATCTTTTCTCCTCCTTTTCCTTCCACTTCCTTGATTGCACACCTGCGCCGTTCCACTGGTCCTCTGCTCAACATCTGCTTTCCGTAGGTTTGAATCCTCACTTTGCTGGATCGTGCCATCTAATTAAGCTGTGCGGGTGTGTGTGACAACGTGTTTTTCCACACGTGTTCGCACGTCATCTCGATTCTGTTCGCTTTTAAACTATTTAGTATCTTTGAGCCTTCAAAAAGAAAAAGGAAGTTTAAAGTAAATCGGCTCATCGGCGTTTGCACGACAGAGCGGTGCTTCAGTGTTTTGCGTCGCACATCTCTTTCGCTGCTGTTGTGTTTCGAACTGACACGAACACCACGCTGTGTTTGTTTTCTTCTTCCCCCCTGCCTCTGTTCAGGGGTTGCAGCGCTGTGCATGTAGCTCCCCCGTTTGATCTCTTCTCCGACGATTTCTCTTTCTTCGCTTCCTTCCTTCGTCCAACGAGTCTCGCCATCGTTTCGTATAGCGGTGGTCCGCACTTTCGTTTCTCAACCCTTCTCGTTTTTCTTTTTTTTTCTTTTTTTTTTGCTGTTGACGTTGATCTCGCGCGTGGTGGCTGTGGTGCCGACTCCTCCCCCACCGCCGTGCACTCCGTTCCTCCTTCCCAACTCTCCTCGCCCGCTTCACTGGCGATACAAACGCCGAAGGAGGAGCAGCAGAAAAGAGGGCGCCCTTTCAAGCCGGAAGAGCGTCTGCAAAGCAAACACGGCGACCTCTCTTTGCTCCCTTCCTTTTCTGTTTTTGCCAAAGTTCGAATTTCGGATATATATATATATATATATTTATATTTAATTGTAGCGCCCCGCTTTATTTCGCCTCTCTGTTTTCTTTGCTTGTTTGTTTTCCGGTTGTTGCTGCTCCCTCCCCCCACCCCCCATAAGCTACTATCTTTTCTTCTTTGGTGTTTATCGCAAGTACATCTATGGTATCGGAATACAACAAGCTTTTTTTTCTCTGGTTGGTGTGTTCTCCCCCGCCGTTACGCGTTGCGAAGAGCACAGAGGCCGCAGGCTGCATAGTTTGGTGTTCACGAGTATTCCTGTTTTTACTATTCCCGCTCTTTACCTCGACGCTTTTTTCGCTTGACTGCACATCGTGGGCTCTTCTGTTGCCCCAAGTTGGCTTTCTTTTTCACTCTGAAACGGCTCTTCGCTCCTTGGCGTCTTCCTCTCTTCTCTTTCTTTTGCATTGGCTTACAAGCAACAACAGCGTGTGTTTTATTTTCCCTCGTAGATCTTCGTGCTCCTCCGTGGCATTTTCTGCCTCCCGCCTTGCATCCATCCATTCCCCGGTGCTCTCTTCTCTTTTGAGGGGGTTTCCGCGTCCTTGCCGTACGCTTGTAATGCATCGAAACAGCGACCACAGCTGCATCTATATAAGTATTTTTATTTATCTAAAATTACGGTTTAATAACGCACTAAAGTTTTGTGTCGTGCCGACGTTCACCTCTTAAAGACGGCCCTTTTCTTTGTTTTAGTAAGTGTCATTCGTGGGCGTTATTTCTCCTTTTATATTTGCTTGGACGCTGCGTTGCGGGCGCTGTGCACCTCGTCTTCGCTGTCGGTTGTTTTTCCTCTTTATTCGACTTCTGTTTTATTCTCCCTTTGTTTCGTTTACCGTGCTTGGTGCTCGCTGCCCTGCGCTCCGCCAAATTTTTGTTCGTTGCCCATGTAAATTCTGTGCTCTTTGTTTTCACTCCTGCCGACAGGCATCATCTAGTAGTTAACCATAACGTGGCGTTCAGCTTCCTTCCGGGGCGGGATTCGTTGGTGGGCGCCACACTCATTGATATTCACCATTTCTGTTTCGGCGAGTGTGGTTTGCTCTTGTTTTGTGTGGCAGGTGGATGTCGAGACGCTTGTTGTGTGTGCGTGCGTACTCAAGGCGTTGCGGAATTTCAAGAAGGTAACTTCTCCGGCGCTCATCTCCTTCGTTGTTTTAATACTGAACGTTTTTTTCCCCTTTTCTGTTTGTGTTGCTGTCTGTTCTGTATTCTGCGGGGTACGCACCGAAGCTCGACGCGGCGCGACGCGTCCTTGTTCTTGTCACCGTAGAGGCCACCTCGTGACGGACCCTGCATCCTGGGGTTCGCCTCCGCTCACTGCGTTGCGTAGCGCTGGTTTGACGTTTATTTTCTTTAGCCAACGCAGGTGTGTCTTTGAAGGATGAGCAACGATCACTTCGGCTCCCGCTTCACCGTCATTGAACAAATTGGCGGCGGAAACTACGGAACGCTCTTCCGCGTCATCGATGGGGAGGCGGACTCGTTGGCGGAGCGCATCATCGCAACGAAGAAGCTCAAGGACGCCATCAACCACCCACACGTCCTGCGCGAGGTGAGCGTGCAGCGGCATGCGCAGCAGGGCACTCGTCACGTAGCGAAGCTTCTCCACGTCGTGCCCCGCGATCAGGTGCGGGCCGCACTCGTACTCGAGTACGTTCCTCTCGACCTGCGCATCTTCCTCAACACGTTCTACTGCGAGCGGGTGCCCTCGTCTGCCCCGACGTGGTGCGCCACGGAAAACGGCAATGGAAAAATCAACGGTCTCCCGCCGACACACGTTCCCCTTACCTATGTGCGCAGAGTGCTGCGGGGACTGCTGGAGGCGCTGCAGTGCCTTCACGCACGCGGCATCGCCCATCGCGACGTCAAGCCGGAGAACATTCTCGTGGAGCCGCTCGGCCTGGACCACCCATTGCGGTGTGTGTGTCCGCCTCCGCGGTCCGCCGCTGCACCATCATCCGCAGCGGTGGCAGCAGGCACGGACTCAACCGCAGTCAGCTGCAACGAAATCCTCGGTGCAAATGCCGCGGAGGAGCGCTGTTGGGTGCACGCCCGTCCTTCCCACAACGGCAGTGCCGCAGCGCGTCATGGCGACGAGCCGCTGCAGCCGACCTCCTCGACGGACCCCCCGCTGGAACTGTGTCGGCGCTTCTTCAATAATGCGGTGGTTCTGCACCACGAGCTGACGGGCGAGGACCTGGCACACACCCTTCACCTTCTTCATTGTGGCACGTGTCGGCGTGCGGCCTGCGCGAGCGCCTCGGAGGAAAAGACGGCGGATGGGGTTGCCTCGAACAGAAGCCGGAAAGGCGCGCCGCTGGCGGAGTCGGAGCAGGAGAATGGCGACGGGTGCGGTGCAGAGCAGCAAATCAGCCGTACGCGCAACGTCCAGGAAGAAGAGCGCGAAATAGAGGAAGGAGTCGTGACGGAATCCACAGAGGGCGTCGATGGATCGCCGGGGCTTGAAGAAGAGGAAGTGCAGCACGCACCACATAACGATGCGAACGCAGCCGCCGCACTGCCGCTCTCACCTGACGTGAAGCTCTGTGATTTCGGCTCGGCGCGCCACATCGGCACGCTGCGGCTGCGCAGCGCCACCGAGCAGCGCGAGGAGCTCACGCCCGGGCCGACCACGCCGGTCTACTGCGCACCTGAAATGATGCTGCTGCAGCAGTACGGCACTCCGGTGGACATGTGGGCCGTCGGCGTCATTCTCTTTGAGATGCTGACGGGCGAGTTCTTCCTGAGTGTCGGCACTCTGCGCTCCTTTTACGGTGATTTGGTCGTGCACGACGACTACTGCGTCATGCATCGGTTGAACATGATGTTTCGCCACTTGGGCACGCCGTCCGCCGAGGAGTGGCACCAGATCGCACACCCGCTGTACTACCCGGACGGCATGCTGTTGCACCTCCCGCAAATACCGCACGCCTCGCTCTTTACGTGCCTTGCGCGAGGCAGCCGCATGGATGGAGCTGCTGCCGCTGACGCTGACAACGGAGGCGTCGCGGTGGATCGCGCAGACAGCGAAGGGAGTGCAAAGCGAAAGGAGACGAATGAGGAAGTGGCGGGGGTGTGCGACGGCGGGGATGCCTCGCCGCGCGATCCGCTCTCGTTGGAGGAGGAGGGCAGCCAGCAGGGAATGGCATCGAAAGTCGCGGCGCAGCCCTCGACCACGAACTGCAGCAACAGCAGCGGTGACGAAGGCGGCCACGCGGAACCAGATGTATCGGAGTTCCTCCTGCGGCACATCGGCGTCTGCGGAGTCGACTTTCTGCGCTCGCTGCTGCGGTACAATCCGGCAGACCGTCTCACTGCTGCGGAGGCGCTGCGCCATCCTTTTCTGGCCACACGCGACGGAGGGCGGAGCGACAACATCGATGAGGCGGATTGAGGGAAGGGAGAAAAGAACAAGAGTTTTCAAGGCCGTTGGAGTTGCCGCGTGCGTGTGCGTTTGGTAGAAGCGGGTGTGGATCGAGTCTCACCAGGTGATTGATGTGGGTGTATGTTCTTTGTTCTTGGATGTGGATTCGCTGCAACCGCACTGCAGAGGTGCCGATGCTCTTCCACCTTCTAAGGAGGCGATAAATATGGCGGGGTAGCAATCACCTGCTTCTTTAAATACATAGGTAGGAGTAGTCAGTACGAAGCGAGTGTCGTACATAAAAATAATGCCAATCCCCAATAGCAACGAAGAAGGAAGCAAAAGAACTGCAACGAGCTTTAGCACCTGTTTCTGTGACGTTAACGGATGGAATACACTGGTCTGTCACACATACACGCACACACACGCACACAGGTGACAGCGGGTAGATGTAAACGGTTCAGCTCATCGGTGCGAAGGTGCGCGTTTTAGAAAGCTTGATGTTCGCGGTCTCTCTTCCTCTCTCGGTCTTTGTACTTCGCACCCTCTAACTATCATTTGTTTTCTTCCTCTGCGTCTCTTGGAACGGTTCTTCCACGGTGCCTAACCGATCACTGGCAGTTGCGTGTGTCTACCAATCTATCTATGTGTGTGTGTGCACCATAAGAGCCGCAGACACATTTACTTTACTCCACGCTCAGGCTTTTTGCGACATACGCGCGCCGGTCAACACGGGGCAAGCGGTGTCCGCGTAGCCGTTTTTTTTTTTGTTTTCTCTGTTGTGGTTGGCGCTGTTGCTTGTAGCTCTAACGCATGACGTATGGTCTCCTGGTGTTCAGCACGGTGGTGCTCTACGCACCCCACTGTCTGCTCTGTGCGATTGCGCTGGCGTGGCAGCCGGTGCTGATCATCATTAGCCTGATTTCCTCCTTTGCGGCGTTTGCGCCGCTCGTCGTGAGTGGTGCCGTCTTCCGGCTTCTGCGGCTGTCTCACGTCTCCACCGATGTCACAGCGGCTGCGGTGGTGCTGCCGGTGCATTTTGTGTTGCTGAGCGGCATTCGTGTGCTCGTGTTGCACGGGTGCCTGCAGCTGCAACGACTTGGCTGGGCGAGGGGGCTGCTGCTCGTGCGCAGTCGGGTGCCGCTCGTCGCGCTCAGCATCGCCGTCGGGGCCGGCTTTGGCGGCACGTCGTTGCTCGTCGGCGGCGGCGCCCTGCTCGCCGAAGCGTGGGAGGCACGATTGTCTATTCCGATGAGCGCAGCCCAGATGAACGCGTCAGCGGCGGTGCTCGACGAATTGTTTTCCGCCAGCGCGAGCTGCGCGCAGCTTCCGCGGTTGGTGCAATCTGTGTTCCAGCAGACCTTCTTTACGTGTGGACAGGTGGCGTGGTCGGTGATGCTAGGCCAGGCGTACGCGGCCGCCTATCCGCAGGCGCTGGAGGACCCGCTTTTAGAGAATGCGGAGGTGGTGAGTTGCGAGGATGAGCGATTGACTGTAGCAGGGAAAGGGACACGTGAAGAAGCGTCAACACCCGCAAGACATCAAGCGGAAGATGCGACGAGGGGCGCGTCTCAGCCTGCTCCCTCGCGCCCCGCCATGGCGAAAGAGGAGCCGGCGCGTTTGGGGCATGACGACGAGGGGTCTCTACCGCCTGTGGAGTCGACCGAGAAAAGCGAAGGAAGAGACGTGGCAGCGCAGCTCCTTGCGTTCCAGCAGCACCGCCGCAGTTCACCTGAGGAGTCGAGGACGAGAAACCAACACGAGGCCTTCGCGTATCAAGGCGCGACAACAGGGGAGCGCGTACCGCCGCCGCCGCACCCATCCACTGAGAGAGCGGGGCAGAGGGAGGAAGTGGAAGAAGGAGACTTGGAGAATCCTAGCACTACCGGTGCCTCCACCCGAGCGCCACTGCGCGGTACACAGGGTGCACGCACCTCCACCGCTTCCAAGGTGCCCTCGCCCTCTTCTCCCTCGTCGCACTCACCGGTTGTGTCTGGCCTCGTGGCAGAGTCCGTGCTGGCGCAGCGTCGGCCCACAGCCCTTCTCACGGGTCTGGCCGCATTGGGTCTTCATTTCCTGTACGTTATGCTGCCTTTGACAGCGCTCTCCGATGCTTCCGCCGCAGGCTCCTCGGGCCGTCGTGGGTGTTCCGCCTACATCCCTCTGCAGTGCCTCCTCACCGTCGCTTCCGTGCTCTGGGGGCTGTGGATTGTCCACTGCGAGCGTCACCCATCTGCGTACGTGCGCTTGGCGTGACAGGCGTGTCTTCCATGTTGCTATATAGTGGTTCTTTTCCTTTTCTCCGAATGCTGCTGATGTTGCTGAACTTATTATCATTGTTTATGTGTATATATATATAAAGCGCCGTTGCTTCTTATTTGGTGTCGCTGCGCATCACGGCGATCTTTGCCTTGTGAGCGCATCTGCGTGTGAACACCGCGATACGCTTTCAGTCTCTGTCTGAGCCGCATCTTCTTCCCTTTTCCCAAACAATCTCTTTGTTGCCGCCACACACGCACACACACACACACAACAGAATTGTAGGAGGTCTGCAAAAGGTTTATTTTAGGAACCTTCGCCGCGCACACGCCCGCCGGCAGCGTGGAGTTGACTTCAACACGCACGTTGAAGTTCAAGCACGCGCAGCAGTGACCGAGTTTTAAAGAGAAGGCATTTCTGCCATTAGAAAGAGGCGTCTTCGTTTTTTCCTCGACAACATTTTCTTTTCTTTTCTTAAACTGAGCGTCAAATAATGAACGGCCACAACGTCGAACCGACGTCCGCGGCGGCCCCGCAGAACGGGCCTTCGTCTTCTTCAACGGCGGCCTCGATTGATGTCGCTGTCTCCTCACGTCACGCGAACCCCAATGCACGGCAGCGTACATCAGCTGGGTCAGCGGAGACGCGGCGCACCACCAACGGCGCACCCGCCGCCACGGTACCGCCACGTCACCGAGACCCGACAACGGAGTCCTCTCACTCCGCTGCTGCGTTCGCTGTCGAAGGGAACAGCGCGTCGAGTGCTGCCCAGCCACTCGCCACTTCCACACCGCCATCACCACGACGAGTGCGGCAGCAAGAACAGTGGCAGCAGGTCCGCTCTGGTAAAACTATCATGAAGGCACGTCGGCAAGCCCCTGCGCGACACGCTGGCAAGACGCAGCGCACGAACTCGCCCGTGTCGACGTCACAAGCATCACCCGACGCACTGCAGCCACCCTCCGACAGCGCTGCAGGCTCGGAGGGCTTCAGCAACGGCCTTCTCGGCGCCGCTGTCACTGCCCCCTCTCCTCGCATGGATGACGTGGTGTGTGTTGTGCTCCCGGAGGCGCCATCGCGCTTCACGCCGCGCGTGTCCGCCGCCGCCAAGGGCGGACGCTTGGACCTGCGTGCGCGTGGTCTGACGGTGCTGCCGTGTCTCCACCTTGCAGGGGAAGACACAGCGGCTGCCCATCGCAGCTCAGACGACGGGGCAGGCAGCCCGCACAGCGACGTGGTCACCTGTGTGTCTTCACATGGCAGCGGCGACACCAGTGCGGTCTACCTGCACGCCGTGAACCTCCGCCAAAATCGCATTCGATCGCTTCTCACGCCGTCCCCCCGCAGCAACACCACCGACGGCCCTCGCAGCACTCCGCTTCCCTTCTACGCGCACGTCTCCTCGCTGGACCTGACGCACAACGAGTTGACATCGATCGCGGGCGTCGAGGCACTGCGCTGTCTGCGGTCGCTGCGGCTTGCCTTCAACAAGCTCACCTCGCTGGCTCCACTTTGGGCCTCACCGTACGTGGCGGAGTTAGACGTCCTCGACGTCAGCTCCAACGCGCTGAGCGAGCTGATGACGGCCGAGGACGTGCGTGCGCTGGAGCTGCATCGCATTCGCATTGTCACGCACCCCACGCAGGCCAAGGCAACAACGGGCGGCCACCGCAGCACCAAGACGACGACCACCTACAAATCCATGCGGCTGCGCGTGTTGTACGCCGCAAACAACGCACTGCGCTCCGTTCCGTGTTCGATTTACACGCTGTCGCACCTCGCCGATCTTCGGCTGTGCAGGAACGAAATCGAAAGCGTGCCGGAGAGCTTCCCGTCGCGGGCGTGCTTGCCGATGTTGGCGCGGTTGGATCTGAGCGTGAACTGCCTGCCGCCGGCTGTCGTGGAGGCCATCACAGCTCGGGTGGAAGGGGCTGCGGAGGCGTCGCACGCACGTCGTGGCACACCGCCTCCGTATGGAGACGAGCGCCCCGGGAGCACCAATGACAACAGCAGTCGGCGTTTCAGTGGCAGCTCAGCGCGCCGCGTGCAGCAACCAGACGGGGCACCGACCTCCTCCTTCGCTGCAGATCAGCCAGTTGCTGCGATGGAGGCAGCCGCAGGGAAAGCACAGAGCGGAGGCGTTATCCAGCTGATGATTTCGCATAATGCCGTGCGTGGCGAGAGTGGAAGCGGTGCGGAACAGAGCAGGGTGAACACTCAACACAGTCAGTCGCTTCTGCCTAGAGAAGCCGCCGTGGCAACCCCGGCGCGACCTGTGGTGAAGGCGCCGTCGCCGCCGCGCGAGCAGCGGCCGCGTCCACCTCTGCCGGATGCAACCGCCTCGGCAGGGAAGTCCGTCGTGGTGACCGCCGCCGCGGCACCAACACCTGCTTCCAGCGAACCGCACCGCCCGTCGGTAAAACGTGAAGAAAAGCCCACAACGGCGGGTGCTGACCGCCCCTCGCTTGACGAGCGGGAGGAAAAGCCCTCTGCGGCTTCGTCGCCGCCTTCTGCAGCAACAGTCGCCGCCGCTGCTGCCCCTTCGAATTGTGTCGAGTCCGCCGCCGACAACCGTTGCGCACCCGGTACGGCAGCGGACGCCATCGCAACCTTTGAGAGTGCGGTGGAAACCAGTGGGGAGAACGTATACGTCGTCAACGTGCAGCGGTGGGCCGCGACGATGCAGCACAACTTGTCGTGCGTGATGAAGACAGCCGCAGCCGCAGCAGCCACCACGGCGGACGCAGACGACGCGCCTGTGCAGTTTACCGAACAGGAGTTGCTGACGGCGCTGTATGACAACGTCGGCGGCTGCATGACAGCGGCCGCGTCCTCTTCCACCGGCGGCGCTGCCGCGACAGCTGGAGCATCGAAGAGCATTCGCCCGCGAGTGTCCAGCGCCTCACGTGTGATCGCGTCCCTTCTGCACCGTCTGCCGCCAGTCAACTCCCTTTGTTTCCCCGAAGACACGCAACTCAGAGCTCCTCCTTTGCTCCTCCTTACAGGGATCTCCTCCAGCGTCACCGCCAGTCCGCAGCAGCTGCTGCTCTACGAGGTACTCGCCCACCATCTCGTTCAAAACTGCCTCTGCACGCCCAAGACAGTGCCCGCCTCCACCGAAGCGTCATCGCCGTCATCGCATAGCTCTCCGACGCAGATCGCCGCCCCATCGCAGGAGTATCTTCGTGTCAACTCTACAGTGAGGGAGTACGCGTCCCCCCCTGCGATGGTACCCACGCGCGTGTCGTCGCCGCCGCGTGCAACTAACACGGTGAGTGCGCTACGGCGCACCGCGAGTACTAATAACAGTATGAGTAACTCTGTCAATGTTCATGCAGGGCGGCTAGGCGGTGTGATGAGTGCGGCGTCACGGCAGCTGAGTTTCCTCGTGCCTCTTCACGTCGTTCACGTCATGGACGACGAAGAAGGGGCCCGAGCAAAGAGTGCAGCGAATAGGAGGAGATCTCTTCTGTGGGGCTACGTGATGTGGAGGCAGAGCTGGGAGAGTGCCGCCGATCGGCGTCGTTTGAAGCATCGCAACTCGTTCGTCTGCGAGGCGCACGACGGCGGTCGGACACCGACGCAGCCTTCGTCGTCGGTGCTGCAGCTGCAGGCTTCCTCCACGCAGGATACGCCGGCGGGCACCGCAACGACCACTGCCAACGGCTCCACGCGATGCACCGCAGAGCCGCATGCGTTTTCCAGCTGCCCGGCCCCGGGCCGTCTTCTGGAGTGGCGTCGACTGCGTGAAGTCCGCCCCGCCTCGTACTCTGCGCTGCCGGCGCCGTGGGAGGTCTTCTACGAGCAGCTGCAGCGCGTCAACGCAGGCGGTGACGCCTCTCTTCGGTGTGTCCCGCCCGTCCTCTCCGGGGCCCAGGATCGCGTGCGTCTACTGCGCGGATGCCCGGGTTCTTTGAGTAGTGCGCTGCTGGGGGCGATGGAGCCGCCGTCCACCACCACTGCCACCAGCAACGCTGCGTGGACGCCGAATTGCCTGTTGACGGCATCGGCCAATGGAGCCTCTACGCAGGCCCCACTGCGCCAACTGGCGAGCGCGATGGGCGTCGCCGCGTCTTCGTTGTCAGGTGTCAACCGACGACAGAAGTGGGACGCATCACGAACTGAAAGGGATGTCATCACGCAAGCGGTGCAGCGCCGGCATCGCAGTCAACGATTGGCGCAGCGTATCGAGGCAGCGGCAACGACAGTCGCAGAGGAACAGGTACCGCCCTGCGCCATGCCGCTGTACAACGCCGCGGAGGTGCGCCAAAGTCAGCAGGCCGCTCTTCTGAGCTTCGCGCGTTTGGAGATGCAACTCGCAACCCACATGGCAGATAATGGTGCTATGACAGCCGCACTAAAGGACGCAGCGGCGAGTTCTGCAGCGACGGAAGTCACCCGAACGGCTTCGGATTCCCCTGCATGCCCAGAGCCCACAGACGGAGAAGAAATGGGGGAGGCGGAGGTGGAGAACTCGCCGGAGGCTGCCGTCTGGGAGGGAGAGGCAGAGGTGTCAAACACGCCGGATGATCGTGCGGCGGAGACGACATCTGCGTTACCCGTCACACCACCGGAGCATACAAACCCGGCGGAGGCGGTGATCGCGGATAAAGGAGCGGCAGAAGACGCCGTCGACGTCACGCCGCGGTCCCCACCGGAGGAGGAAACGACAGAAACTGTAGAACGATCGTCGGAGGCACCGGTGGAAACAGCGGTCACGGAGTAGGGTGAAGCGAGGAGGGGGGGGGAGGGGATCTTCGAATGGAACCAACGCAGATTTTGTGTGTTGTCCTCCTTCCTGCATCATGCACTTCGGCAAGAAGGAAAGAAGGTGAGAAAGAGAAGCGGGCTCCTGCCACCGCGAAGTTGGCGGCCGTGTCGGGTGATCTCTTCGTTGTTCAGCGGGGTGAAAACACATGTGGCGGCGCGTTTGGATCTCCTTCCCAGCCTTTCTGGACAACGCTTTCTTTTTTGTTCTTTATTGCCTCTTTATAGGCGTCATTTTTGCCGAAGCTCGGAGGGCATCGTCACTCCCCACAAAAATAGTCACCTCCATTTAATTACACCAACGCGGTGGCTAAACCCTAATGGATCGCCCCCAAACCGTCCGGTGTGACACCGGACGGTGCGTACACGCGGCGGCGGTACTTCGTCTACCTCATCTCAGCGACGGATGCGGTTTGACCCCGCGTCGGAAGGCGCATTAGGAAAAGAGGAGGAAATTAGGGGCTCTTGGGATCCTGCGCTAGGCGTGCCAGACGCATCAGTCGTGGTGCGAGCTTCGGAGCCCCACGGTGAGCGTGAGTGGGGAATGTGCGGGATCATCTCGAGGAGAAAATTTGCGAGCTGGACATCTGCGACCGCGTCCACTGCGTACGGTGCGCACTCCTATCGTACTTCTCCCTAAGTGCTTTCAGTCCCGAACAAACCATGAGGTGGCTCGGCGTCTCTTCCCACGCGAAGCGTATGGACGTTTCTAAGGGACTCGGGGAGCGTAGATCGTGCTTCACCACCTGGTGCCGTACCAGGCCACTGGGCGTGATGCTAGCTCTACAGCAACCTGGACATATTTGGATCTTGGGGCGTATGGGTATCCACCTCTTCTTGCTTGCTTCCTTCCTCCATGACCTGCGTTTGCGTGACTTCGGGTTGGTGGGTCCTCTAAAACAACCTCAAACCAACACGCTCGTATTCGCCCCACAAACCGTTCATTTACCTCACAGCGCACCACTTCAGTTTGAAAGCGAAAAGACCTAAATTAAACTAGAACTATAAGAGTCACTCGCGCAGCAACAAGCGTGTATATGCGTGTGTGCCTTTCTCGGGGCGAGAGGATGAATTGTTGTCTTGAATCCGCACGCGTTAGTGCTTATTTTTAATGTTTCTGTGTGGTTGCTTGCTTTGCGTGTATTGGTCTCGCGTTTCGACGCTTACAGCCGCCTTCGCTACTCCCGTACGTTGCCGGAAGGGATAGAGGGGACGTGCACTTCAGCCGAAAGCAGATAATCTCTACTGCACGCATTTGTAGATTTGTAAGCAGATATTCGTTTTCAGGCTCCTGATTTGTACGCCCGTGTCTTCTTGTGCTTTCGAGGACCGGAACCTCTCTGTGAGCACGGCTGCCCCTGGCACCTTCGCATCTTCCGCGTGAATCGTCTTTCTCTTTGCTTTGTTTATTGATTGTAGATGCGCATAACTGTGTGGGGGCGTCGGTGACTCTATAGTCCTTTTTTCTTCCCCCCCCCCTCCCCTCCCACCCACCCACCACCACCACACACGCCACAGCACCATGTACGAGACGGTCGGCTACTACCTGCAGATGGTGGCGGCGTTTTTGCTCCTTAGCCTCACCCACTACTTCGCCTCTGCTTTCCTGCCGATGGCGGACTGCGATGAGACGTTCAACTACATCGAGCCGGTCCACTACCTCTTGTACGGCTCCGGCAAGCAGACGTGGGAGCTGTGCGAGCGGTACGCGCTGCGGTCGTGGCTCTTCTTGTGGATCTACGCCTGGCCTGCAGTGCTTCTCCGCGGTGCCGCCAGCCTATCGAGCGCGGACGTGTTTTACTACCTCCGAATTTTTAACGGCCGCATCGCAGCGCTGGCCGAGCTGTTCTTTGTCTACAGTGTGTGGTCCGCCTTCTCCGGCAAAGCGGCGATGATCGCGCTGCTGCTGCTGTTGGTGAACTACCCCATCCCGCACGCCGCGGTCAGCGTGATGCCGACGAGCTTCGCTATGATCTGTAACTTTGTGGCGCTGGGCTGCTGGCTGCGCACGGGGGCGTGGTCCTCGTCACGGGTGCCAGCAGCGTCCATGCATGGCAGCGCAAAACGACGCACCCCTCGTTACCTTCGTTGGTCGGTGGGGCTAGCGCTGTTCTTCAGCGTGTGCAGCGGCATCATCAGCTGGCCCTTTGCCGGACTCGTGTCGGTTCCCATCGGCCTCGATCTCCTCCTTCGCTTTCCGACGCACGCCGCTCTCTCCACTGCCGGCGCGGTCGTCGTCGTGGTCGTGGCGGATCTGCTGGTGAATGCGCCGTACTACTGTCGGTGGGTGCTGAGCTCGTGGAACGTGGCCACGTACAACATCTTTGGCGGCGCCGACCGCGGGCCGGACCTACTCGGTACGGAGCCGTGGTTTTTCTTCTGGAAGAACTTGATATTGAACTTTAACTTGATGTTTGTGACGGCGCTATGTGCCCCGCTTGTTGTGTTGTGCACCGTCCGCCGAGCTGCGCCGCCGTCGGGCAGCCGCTTTGCTGGCAGTAAATCTAGGAGCAGTGGGGTACGGAACGGCAACGGTCATCCGAGGCAGAGGGAGTCACCTCGCAGGTTGTCGTCGAGCGGGGAGGTGCGACCCGCCGCCCTCCTCGCCACATCACCGGCGTCTTCTCTGACGCGAACCCGAGTGCACCACTCCGCCGTCGCAGAAGCTCCCGCACCGCAGCCCAGCTGCTGGCACGCACCCCTCAACGTCGCGGCTGCGGCCGTTGGTTGTTCGTGTGGCCGGGAGCTTCTCTACATGGCGCCGTTCTTTCTGTGGTTTACGTTTTGGATGTGCATTGAGCACAAGGAGGAGCGCTTCATGGCGCCCGCCTACCCCTTCATGGTGCTGGCGGGCACCCGTGCGATTTGCCTCGCCTTTTTCCCCGACGTGGAAAGGGAGCGTCACGCGTCGACGCCGGCGGCGGTGGTGAGCACGTACCCCGGGAATGCAACGGCAGTGCCTGTGGCGACCGCGCCTCCGCCTCCCGCACTGCCTCGACGCGACTCCCCCCATCAGCCGCGTTCCATCGCCGTCTTGGCGTGGCGCAGAGCCGCGGGCTTTGCTTTTCTCGCCGCTTTCTTTCTCCTCTCCTACTCCCGTGCGATGGCGGTGTACTCGTACTACAGCGGACCAGAACGCCTCTTTTATGACTGGTACCCGGTGCTGCGGGCAGCGGCGCGGCAGCGGTGGGAAGAGAAGCAAGCTCTCGCCGCGACAGGGCAATTCGCCACAACACGTGGCACCACGCCGCAGCAAACCAACGAGCTAAACGCGTACTTCACGCTGTGCCTCGGCCGGGAGTGGTATCGCTTTCCCTCCTCCTTCTTCGCCGACCACCGCTACGCCCGCTACCAGTTTCTGAGCACGTCGAGCTTTCATGGGATGTTGCCTATGTCTTTCGTCACGGCCGCCGCGGGTGAGGAACGCGGCCTGCTGTGGGCCCCACCCGGTGTGAATCACGCAGGGACGGCGGAGGAGCAGCGGCACGAGGGAGGCTCCTGCACCTGCGGCGCCGCCCACGTGAGTGACCTGAGTCGAGAGATTTCGGAGCAGTACGTGCAGGACCCGATCCACCAGTGCGACGCCGTCTTCGACAGCCTTCCGCCGCCAGCCCACGTGAGTGCAGCCGAACACGCGCAGGAGCGGCGTCAGCTCCACCTCGACACCGTCTTCACCCGCTCGCTGCTCAACACCACTGCGATGCGCGCGGTGCTGGCGGCGGAGGGAACGTTGTACCGCCACGTAGACGACGCTTACGCGGTGATAGACGTCGACCGCACCCCGATGTGGTGTCGGGTACTGTACTACCCTTTCGGCATCTCGAAGCGGTGCGCGGTGTGGCGCCCGCTCGTGCTGAACGCTAAGCCGTAAGCGGCACGCAAGACGGAGCATCACAAGGCAAATTGCCGGTTTTTTCCCCTTTTCTTATATCTTTTTCCCCCACCAAAATACGGCGAAACATACAGTGAAAGTACTTGTGACGTGTAGCCATCATTGTCAAATATATATACATGTATATATATTTTGAATCTATTTGGGTATTGTTGGTTCGCACGAGTACGTTGCGGCAGGTCCCTCCAGCCGAAGACCAACCCCGAGCCTGTTTGCTGCGTGGGGTAATCCACTACTACAACGACTGAGAGATACATGACGCGAGCGAAGAGGCGCTTGCTGAGCGCGTTTTGAGGATGAAGCGAGCGGTAGTTCCCGACTCATTCATTTCACTCAAACAGGGGCAGCTTTCCCCGTCGCGTACCGCAGCACAACACTGAGGAGTCAAACCCACACTGTATGGGGTGGGGGGAGTGGAAGAGAGGCTTTTGGCGCCAGCTCGTTGTCGGGGCGGTGGGTAGAGAACTCCGTAGGTGGCGTACGGACTGCTGTGTTATGATTGTGTTTTTAAACCACGCTTCTGTCCTCCAGTGAGAGGCGTGAGGATCGAGGGAACTCCCGAAGTCCGAGATGGGGCGGAAGAACCAACCAAGATGAAATAGTTCAACATTCTCCACCCCCTCCCTCCCCCGAACGTACGCACCAAATAAATCCTCCTACATTTTTTCCCTTTTTTTCTGAGGAGGGGGTGGTGGACAGTAGATTGTACGGTAGCTCCGCTTGCTCTGAAAAAAGCGCGGCTCGACGCCTTCAACTAAACCTCTCGCGGTCAATTGTATCTGTTGTTTTCCCTTTCTACCGGCTCTAGAGCGATGAGTGAGCGGAAAGGTCCGCGTACGCTGGCGTTTTTGCGTGAACCGCATCGTTGAAGCGATGTCGCGCTTCCCTCCTTTTCCCTCTCTCTATATTGGATCCGCCGACGTCGCAAAACGGTGCAGAAAAGAGCCGCCGCGGGTAGGCGGATGTCCACCATCAAGAATCCGCTTCTGCGTATGAGTGTTTGCGAGGTTTATACTCCGGCTGTGTTGGATTGTTGTGACCCATCCCCCCCCCCCTCACTCTCTGGGAGTTCGCGGCGTACGCGTCGCAGCGAAGCGTAGACCTATAACTTCAAAACAAATAAAAATGAATTACGTTGTGTGCGGCTGCAACTCGCCGGACGTTGAGAGAAGACACGCGTCAACAGCGGGATGAAGGCAGCCTTTCGTCTTGTCCATCCGCCGTGCTTCCCGTTAGATGTGAGGGCAGAGCAAACAACCGGCACACAGAGCGTTTAGTTGGCCAAAATGAATGTATCCAGCTTTTTTTTCTCTTCGTCTCTGCGGGGCTCGTCACCTTATGATCTGTTCATCTTCCTGTCTCGTGTGTGTGTGTGTGTGTGACGAAATTCTTGGAAACTACATTAGATTGGTCCTTCAAAGGAAGTATTATTTTTTAAGCCAGTAGGTGCGCCACACCCACCCATGTCTCTTCAGTCTGCGCCTCTCAACGCACGGCATAACTCCCCGCCTCGACTCACGCGCAGCAGCAGCGGGACCCCCACGTCACCTGCGCTAGATGCAGCGGCGCGTGCTATCCAGTCGTGGCATCGAGGCCGGTGTGCGTGCCACGCTGCCAATCGACTGCTGATGTGGCTGCATCTATTGCGCCTCACGCACGTCATGGAAAATGAGGAGGGAAGCGGACACCCGCAGCGGGCACCCGCACCATCGGCGACGGCACGCCCACCCACCAGCACCGTCGCCGCCGTCTCGGACGCCAGCGTGGTAGCACAGCTGCTGGAGGCGAGCCGCGAGTACGACGCAGCGAAAAGCGAAGAAAACTACACGCGTCTGTTGCTGCGAGATGAACTTCTCCGCAGCAGTGCGACGGTGCGCGGCGCGTCGTCAGCGGCAAGGCACCGACTGCACCGGCACCACGCAGCACTGCGTCATGTCTCGCTGTCCCACCCTCTCGCACAGGCCGCCCTTGAGCAGCACGTCCGCTTTGTGGGCCGCGGGCAGCGCCGATCACGCCACGTGGCTTCACGTGACTCGCAAGCAGCAGATGCGCTAGACGTCCTGCGTGAAGTGGAAGCGTTCCTCACGACCCCGCACTTTACCTGGTGGATGAACACCGTGGCGGCGTCGGGGCCTCTTCGTTGTTCCCCTCCTCCGCCCGACTCGCCCGGCGCGACGTACGTTGACCCTGCGGAGAAGCACGCAGACGCCCTGACCGGCCCCACCCACTCACCGCTACCGCCAGCGGCTCTGCAGACCACTGTAGAACGCCTCAGAGAACAACGTAGCGAAGGCGCAGTTGCAGCGGCGGAGCTCGACACGCTACTGAGCGCGGTGGAGGCGGTGGAGGACGAAGAGGTCACCGCCGCCGCGTACGCGGAGAAGCGCAAGACGGCTGATGCAGCGGCGTATGCGGCGGCAAAGCGAGCCACTCTGGCCGGATGCCCACTTCCAGATGGTGGCGCGCCCTCGCCCGTCTCTGTCCACCCTACCTCAGGGTGTTCGCCCTCCCCCGCTGCGGTCAACGCGGCTGCGGCCCCCCTCTGCACGGAGGGACAACTGGAAGATGTCGATTTAGTGATGCAGCCGGTCTTGGGCGGTGGTGTGCGCCTTGCACGGCTGCATCCCAACACAACAACGGATGGGGACGCGCCCGACTGCCTGACCTGTGTCGTCTGTGAGCTGGAGGGTGTGTTGACAGCGGACGACGTGCGAACGGAAGACAGGTATGATGTGTTGGTGGCCTGTGCGACGTGCGGGGCTCTGGTGCACCAATGCTGCGCCTGCACAGGAGAGGCGTGCGGCGAAGCGAGGAACTTCTGCTGCCGCCACTGTTTGCACCGCGCAGAGTAGCGATGGCGCGACGTGTTGATGCTCCGCACTGTGGAAGGCGCCGTCTGCTCTTCTGCGCATGTCTCATGACGGATCCGTCCCCCTTTTGCGAACCTCTCAACTCGATTGCATCCCGCACCTACGACACAGAAGAAACGTACTTTAAAAGAAAAGAAAACCTTATCACAAGAGAGTGTGAAGGCACTTCCTACTACACCGGCAGATGAGGGATGCGTGTTCCGCACCGCTCCGGCCTATGCGGCACCTTCGCTACGTCGTGCACACCTTGGAAACACAGGCGTCGCGACGTCGCCTCAGCTGTCCATCGTTTGCTGCTTCTTCTCGTTGCTGCGTGGCAGCTCACCACCTAACCCTCTCCTCCCTTCTTCTCGAAGTTTCCGCGACAGCAGCGGCGGCTTTTCCCACACGGGGATACGCGCCACCACGGCGAAGTTACTCGTCGTCTTCTGAGCGCGCGCGCTGATCGCTGTGCTTCACCTTTTTTTTTCTTCATTTAGGGGAGGGTCTTCTTTTAACGGGCCTCCGCTACATCGGCATAGACTTGGCGGCTCCCATCAACAGGCACTCAAGCTTTAAAAGGGAAAAAGGGAAAAGCCAGAAACCGGCTGCCTGTCTACGTGTGATGATCAGCGTAGCGGGTGTTGTTTGTCTCTCCCTCCGTCTTGAGTTGACCGTTTCTTCTGCATAGATTTACCTGTTTCTCTACTGCTCTTCTCATCCCGCAATGTCCGATGTACTCGGCTACCTCAGCGAGGTAACCCATCGCGTGTCCGCCACCTTCATGCCGACCGAAATGGAGGATGTCGCGTCCTTCCTGCGCGGCGATGCGTGGGTGCTGGTGTCGACGCACGCAGCTGCGGCGGACAGCGGCAGGGAACCTGCAACCACCGCAAACCCAACAGACGGAAATGACGCTCCCCCCACGTTACTCCGTTACCCGCTAGGTGCCACACGGTGGGGCCGCTGCATCCCGCTTGGCATTGCCGGCACGACCCTCGTTTCCGCTGTGACTTCAGGCAGCCGTGCCGTTCTGCAGAACTTCTTTGAAGGCAGCGGCTTCGCGCAGGTCTTTACGGTGCACTTGGTGCCTACGGAGCAGCAGCAGCAGCAGCAGCGTGGCGGCAGAGGCGGAGGCGGCAGTGGGAATCGCACTGGCGTGTCCACCACCGCACATGTCGCGTCTTCCTCGCCCCCTTCCTTTCAGGCTGGCCAAGGCGGCTGTGTGGGGTGCACGGCGGCCTCTCGCAAGCGACGGCGGCTGTCCACCGCCGCACCGCCACCAGCAGCCCACATTGTTGATGTGACGCTGGACGGCCGCTACGGCTCGACCGCGCAGGCCGCACGACACGCCTGCATGGCGGTGATTCGGCGGTGGTTTGAAGACTTGGAAGACAGCCTTCGCCCCCGCGACGAGGAGGAGGAGGAGGCATGGAAAGCACCAAAGGAGCTCGATGAGAGAGCTGCTCCTCAGAAGGCGCAGCTCCGACGTCTGCTGGTCCTCGTGCACTGCTGCGCGGATAACCGGGCCGCCGTCTCCACCGGAGCAGGCAGAGCCCCCTCTTCTTCTTATTCATCCTCCACGGCAGTTGGCGGTGGTGCGGCTCCTTCTCCTCTTTCTGGCTCATCCGGCCGCCGCCACCGCAGGGGGGACGACCCGCTGCTCTCCTTTCTGCACGACCTCGCCGCCCTCGCCACGCTTTACGAAGCGCGGCTCTCCGCGACCGCCTGCAGTGTCCGACCTGCCGTACTGCTCCTCCCGGAAGATGAGAGCTACGGCGGAGCGATGCTGAAGCATCGTTTAAAAGAGGAGGTGGGCTATCGATACTGGGTGCAGCTCTTCTCCCCGTCCGATCAACATCGGCATCGGCAAGAGCAACCACCACGGCAAACGAACGGAGGGGGGAGTGCAGGCGACGCATCATCACTCGTGCGCCAAAGAGTAAATGTCGGAGCGAGTTGGAAGGCGTCCGTGGTAGGCGGCAGCGCTGCGCATCGAAATGGCCTGTCACAACCGCAGCTGCACCACCGTCAAGGCGAGGCGCCGCTCGTTCGTGGCTGCCGCCTTGCTGCGGTTTGGGGTGTGTTGGACTCCTCGGTGCTGTCGGCAGGTGCCGATCCTGCGGACACGGATGTGAAGTCGCTCGCCGATCCGTCTTTGCCGGTCGTGAAGGAAACCGCAGCCGATCGTCGCACTTCAAGCCCTCTTCTTTTCACCCACGCATCCGCGTCGCAACTTGATGAGGCCCTGCGCCGCCACCCCGCGTGTTTCTTCGCGCGGCCAAGTAACGCGCCGCTGTGCGTCTTCTTAATGGAAGCCCTCCGTCGTTTTCCTTTGCTGGCGCCTCTCGCCATGCTGCGCCACTGGCAGTCCACGTGGACAGCGCGCCACTCGCTGAACGACGTCCTCTTTGTGTTTCATTCCACTGTGTGTCCCTTTGCGATGTCCGCCGCCCATCAAGATGCATCCACGCTCCGCAGCAGCAATAACAACGGTGATGGAGGAGGAGGCAGCGTGTTGTCGACCCCGTCGCCCTCCTCGTTGCTGCGAGACGCAACGGACCTGTTGGACGCGCTGCTCGACGCCTCTTTCACCCTCGCCGAAGACCGCGACGCCGTCGTGCCGCTCTCGAGCAATGATTTTCGCATTGAGCAGGCGACTTGGTTTATGTTGATGTACGAGGCACTGACGCAGCAGCGGGAGGCGCGACTACGACGCATTCCAGGGGTCGTCGAGGTCCTTCTGCGTTTGTACGGCCGACACGCAGGCGGCCCTGCCGTGGGTGCCCCAACACCCAGCCACCTCACGACCACCACCAGCACCAAGAGCAGTACCGAGGATGAGGCGATACGCTACGCGGTGCGGCACCTCCTGCCGTTTGCACCGCTCAACGTGTTCTATCAGGCGGTGCAGCAGTGCAGTGCTGCCCCTCCTCCTCCTCCTTTGCTGACGAGGAACAGCACCGCTGCAAAACGAGAGGTCGTGGCCTACCCGATGAGCTCGCTCGTTCTCCCGCTGCGGCGTATGTCGGTCGCCCTGCCGCTACGGACCACAACGCTGTTGTCGCTGCTGCCGCCGGACGCGTCGCTGCAGGAGTTGAAGGGGCTGGCGGAGCAGCGGTGGGCGGCGGAGCTGCCGGAGTCCTGGCAGAAAATGGTGACGCAGGCGAGGGGCACGCAGCGCCGCAGCTTGGCTGCTCTTCATGCCTCGGACTCACACGATCGGCACGCAGGGGATTCATGGATGGCCGCCTCCACGCAGTTAAGTCCGGCGAACTTCTTTCATCCTCTCGTGCCGCACGCCGTGCGTGTGCTCTACCTCTTGACAGCGCACACCCTTCACGCGCCGACGGAGGCGGCAAAGCAGGTGCCGGTGGTGCAGTTGCAGGTGATATGTCAGCTGACCGACGAGCAGCTCTTGCTGGTGCTGAAGGAGCTGCAGACAGCGGGACTTGTGAAGATAAACTGGCACGCGCAGACCGCACGTACGCTGCTGGACGCTACCTAGAGATTTCTGGAGGATTATTACGATTATTATTATATATTGCTGGGTCTTTTGCGTTTGGTGTACGGCAGCAACACGCCGTCCAGAGACAGCAGCAAGCGTGGAAATCAAACGCGTACAACTGACCGACGCCGTGCTGGGACGCTTCCGCCTTTACGCTGCCGTTTGTGTTTTCTCGGCTGCAATGAGGGGAACCGTTGTCTGCCTCCCATATGCGTATAGTACGAGAAAGGTTGTCGTGTCTTTTGCCGATGTCTTCTCTTCTACGTCTCTCGCATCTTTCTGTCTGCTCCTCCTCCTCTGCGCTCTTCCAGTTTATCGTCATCGCGAAGTCCCCCGCACGGCTCGGAAGGAGAAAGAAAGAAAGCACACACGCAAGCCGGCAGCTGATCGACTGTATCGCCTTCTTATATCATCTATTGCCTTTACACCGCCCCCGCATTCGTCGCCTTCACAGCGACAAGGGTGGCACGATCACCACGGGTCTTCGCTTTCCCAATCTGCGCACACACGCACACACATATCTATACATCCATTCGTCTTCCGTCAAAAACGAGGGGTTTTTGTTTTTGGTTATCGAAGAGCGTCGTTTCACTCGTGTTCTCAAATATCTATCATCAAATACGGTTCTTCCGTCTACCCCCTTTGTGTTGACGCCGTTTCCGCCGGTCCAATGCCGTTGATCTGCCCAACGTAGTTGATAGCAAATTTACTGTTGTGGTGGTCCCTCTGTGACTCCGTGTTCTCCAGCTGCAACGGCTGCGGCGGCGGCGGCGGTGTGTGCGTGGGTGCGTCATCGTCACCCGGGGAGCAACATATTGATCTAGTTTCTTAGTTCTCAAACACAGCGTTGGTCGCCTCTTCGCCTCCTCCACCGTCGATCACCGCAGACTTCAGCAGCAGCGCGAAAGAGAAGGCGTGTGCGTACGCAAAAAATATATATATAAGATGGTGAAGGCGAGCGATAGCGGAGGAGGCAGCCATGTTTCTTCCCATCGCTACGCGCCTACGCGGTTGCTGCACGTGCTCCACACCGTAGAACGCCTGAATTCCCGCAAGGAGCCTCTAGAGCACCCCGCCGCCTTCCTGCTGGACCGTGTGCATACCATCGAACTATGGCGGCTGAGTGGAAGAAGGTTGAACCTTCTCCAGTTGGGTGCCGCTCTGGTGCGCGGCGTGCTGCAGCGAGGTCGTGACAGCGCCACGCCTCTGCATGTCTTCGGGCCGATCGAAGACAGTTCCCCTCCTCCCTCGTCTTCCGATGCTGTGTCCGCGGAGGTGAGTGCGTTGCCGGGCAACGGCGGGGAAGGAGAACGCCTTGCGGAGCAGAGCGCGCTACCCGCGACGGCAGCGCCGCACGGCGAGACGCCTCTACACCGTCACGTGCACCACCGCGATGACCCCGCGCCGCCTAGCGTGGCGCGAGTCGTACTCGTACAGTCCGCCGGTGAGGCGTCGCCGGAGTTGTACATGGGCCTCCTCGTTGGCCTTTTTGGTAGCGGCGTTTCCTCCTTGTCCCAGCGTGACGGGCCGCCATCGGTCGCTGCGTCCTCCGCGCGCCCCGAAGATGCGGCAGCAAAGGCAGCCTCCTCACCGCAGCAACAATTGTCCGCGGAGGCCGCACGCGCACTGCACGAGGTGCACCGCGCCGCTCGCGACATCATCCATCTCATGTTCGCGGAGGTGACCAAAATAAACGCACTCGTAGCCAAGACAGCACCGGCGCACGCGCGTGTGGGGCAGCGGGGTGGTGAGCACGCACCGCCCAGCAAAGACGCCCGTCCTGTGCCCGGTGAGGCCGTGCCGTCCACCGCGTCGCTCGAGGCGCAGGCGCACGATCTCTGCCTGCGGCTGACGCGCCTCACCGCGAATCTGTACAGCCTGCTGTCCTTTCTCGACTTCTTCAGCGTGGAGGCGGAAGCGGAAAGCCAAACCGGGGCAGAACACAACTCACAAGACGCAAGCGGAAGAGGGGAGGAAGAGAACCGGTTGAAAGCAGCACCGGCGTCGGCCCCTCACACAAAGACAGCGGCGCAGAGCAGCAAAGGTTTTGCGGCGGGTCTTTCCTCTGCTGTGGCCGCCATTGCGAGCGCCATCGCCGATAGCGGCTCCCAGGCGGTCGGTCTCGACGCTGGCCTTTCCCTCTCCCCTAACGGCAACCCGCGCCACCGCCACATGCACGACACGGCTGATGCGAACCCACCGCATCATCGCAGCGCAGCTGACACGTCACGACGTGTCGCGTCAAGGCCCGCACCGAAGGAGCCGGTACCGGCAGCAGGTGGGAGCGCCTGCCACCACGGCCGAGCCCTCTACACCGTCGCGTACTTCCGCACCCTCTTTGACACAGCTGGGCATCTGCCGCTGTGTGTGTGGGACATCTTGGCGACCGCCACGACGGTGCTGTCGCAGTGCGGCGTGTCGTGGTCTCTCACCCACGGTGATGCGGCGGTGGGGGCCAACTTCAACGCCACCGCTGCCGTCGTGTTTAGCGAGGCGCAGCTGAGTCTTTCGCGGCAGCTGCATCGGCTGTGTCGTCGCTTCGAGGTGCTGCGGCAGCGCGTCTACGCCCTCTACCCCGTCAGCCCGGTCCGCTTCAAAGTGAAGCAAATCTTAGACTGGGCGGGCTTTCTTTACGCGGATGATCCGACGTTTCGCTCCTCCCACGACGGCGCCGCCACTTTGGTCGATCTGCACGAGGACGCGCTACACAAAGTGTACCCGCTGCGGCCCCGCTGGGGCATCACGGCAGACAACAAGAAGGCGCTGCAGCTGGTGGCGGCAACTCCCTACACCCCGCCTACACCGAATGAGACATCGAACAGCGCAGCAGCAGCAGCAACAACAGCGTTCCCCCCGCGGGTTTCGCCAGCAGCGACCGACGCCAGTAAAATGCCAGTCTCGTCGTTGCTCGCCACCCTCGCGTCCGTCGGCACGAGCGGGTTTACCGGTGGCGAGCGAAATCGATTTTCCATGTTCAGCAGTCACCTCGGCGCCGACCCAGCGATGAAGAATACCAGCAGCTACGGCCGCCTCGCACCCGCACCCTCCGCCGCACAACCCAGTGCGGTGGGGCGGCTCTCGACCGTGCCGGGTTGGGTCGGGATGCGCAACAGCGGCAACACGTGCTTCTTAAACAGCGTAGTGCAGCTGCTCAGCTCGGCGGTGCTCTTCCGAGACAACCTGATCGCACGTGTGCAGCAAGCCGTCTTCCGGCGATCCGCCACGTCAGCTCTTGACAGCAGCACTCCGTCCCCACGCGATGTCAGCTCTTCCGCCGCCGCCGTGCAGGAGCCCGACTTGACGGCACCATTTCGCAAATACGGATGCCGACTGGCGCTGGTGCTGCTCCTCGGTGAGCTGCAGTGGCGCGCGCGGTACCGCCACGAGGAGCACCCGGTGCTGCCGGACTACTTGGACTCGCAGCTTCCCACCCCCTTCAACGACCACCGCCAGCATGATGCGTCGGAGTTTCTGCATGCGCTTTTGGATCAGCTTGACGCACCGGCGCAGCCCGGCGGTGCTGTCGTGGGGCGGTGGTTTAGCGGAAAGACGGCGACGACGATGACGTGCACCCGCTGCGCGCACTCCCGCACCCACGTAAACGCCTTCTGGGACGTCTCCATCCCGATCCTGCCCCCGCCGTCCTCCGCAAACCGCCCGGGCGAAGGGGGCGGCGGTGATGGGGGAGTTGTCGCAGCGCGTACGCAAAATGAGGAGGGGGACGAGTATGGGAAGGCAAGCAACCCACAGCAGCTGGTAGAGGTGGTGCATTTTCCAGGAGCCACGGCAACAACCACGACGTACGTGAGCGGCGGCTACCGTGAAGGTACCGCTGCTCCGGCACCGATTCCTGCGGCTGCCGCTGCTTCGATGAGCGACGAAGGCGAGACGGACGTGCGACTCCACAGCAACGACCACAACCAAACGGCAGAAGCGGTGCTTCCACTTCCACGTCCTGCCTCCGCCGAAGCGGCGCCGCACGCGGCCGACACACCCAACTCTGACGCACGATGGAAAAAGTACACGCTGCAGCATCTCCTTCTCCATGTGTTGCACCCCACGTTAAACGAGGAGCTGCTGCACGGCGGCAATGCGCTCGACTGCGAGTACTGCGGCCGCCGCACGAGCACCGCGCTAACTACGCAGCTGGTGGCGGAAGTTAGCGCAGAAGAGACGAGCCAACGAGTGGCTTCGATCTCAACAGACGGAGTGAGCGCCCCCACGAGTGAGACCTCGTTGGGGCCGGACAGACTCTTCAAAGCTGCTCCATCGGCCATGCCGGGCACGCATGCCCCCCACGAAGGCAGCAGTCCAACCAAAGCATCGCCGTCTTGCTCGACGTCAAGTCCACGAAACGGAATGGGTGTGGCCACGGGCACACAACCCGCGCATCAAGACTTCTCTCCCCCTTCCAGCCCCTCCTCTCCCACCGCTGCGCACCGCACCGCAGCAGGCGGCGGTCTTCCCTGGTACTTGGCCCTGCAACTGAACCGATTCGCGTACCAGCGAGCAACGCAGTCCTATGCCAAAGTGACGGATGGCGTCCCGCTGAACGAGGTCGTGGTGGTGCCCGCGTACCCAATGCAAGAGAACACCCCGACCCCTCGGCAAGCAGCGCGGTTCGACAGCTCTGGACAGCAGCGGCACAGCAAGGGCAGCGGGGATGAAGAAGGCGAGGCCGCAGCACAAAGCAGCAGCGGCGGCAGCAGCGGCGGCAACGCGATGACGGTCACCGCCACGCCGGTGTGGGTAGCCTATCGTCTGCAGACCATCGTCGTGCACAGCGGGTCGACACCGAGCAGTGGGCACTACTTTGCTCTCACACGCAGCCCACCCAGCCTCTGCAGCCCCGCTGCGGAGGCCCCCAACGGGGATCAAATTCAAACAACGCACATGGAGGACGGAGAGGCCCCGACTTCGCCATCGGTAAACCTCGAGAACATCCGCGCGTACGTGCGTGAGCAGGGAGCTGCCTTCTCAAACGTGTTGGACGTGGATCGCGTCTTTGCGGCGTCGTCACCGGTCAGCTCCACCGCAGCCACGGAGGCGGCAAATGCTGGTGACGAGTCCCCGCACAGCACATCGACGAGGACACGCGTGATGAAACCAGCGGCGCACCACGACAGCGAAGAGGAGCCGCGCAGCGTGCCAGTCTTACGCAGCACAGCCACCACCGCTACCACCACCACAGCAACAAAAGCTGAGGAAGATGGGGAGGAGGAAGAGACGAACTCGGCTTCCAAATGCGAGGCGCCGGCACAGGAAGGAAAGGAAGAGGCGGAGATGCACTCTGCACTCCTCCGCTCCTCTCCTAGCCTCCCCCCGGCTGCAGTATCCGTCTCCGGCGCTGCCTTCTACGAGAACTGGGTGATGCTCAACGACTCGAACGTGCAGGCGGTGTCACAGGAGAGCATGCGCCGTATCTTGAACGGAGGCGACATCGGTGTCTACTCGGCCCTGGAGACGCCCTACTTGATGCTGTATGAGAAAATCCCTGCTTGCTATCTGCGCTGCAGCGGCGACGACGGCGGCGAGGAGGAAGGACGGGAGGCGTCGTTGTTATTCGAAGTCTGCGCCACGCCCGCACGCGCTCTTCAGCGTGTGTGGGAAGACGGGCGATGCGACCCGCTCTCTCCGGCGGCCTCTCCTTCCCCTGCAGCGTTGACACCGGTGGAGCTGGCAGCAGAGGCGGTCGCCATCTTCCGCGCACGCCTGCACGAAGAGGAAGCGCGAGCGCACACGGCAAGCCTCCTTGCCACGACAGCAGCAGCAGCAGCAGCTACCTCTGCCGCTGCTTCTACAACCGTCGATGATGCAGTACACGTGGCAGCATCGCCGAACACGACTGCCGCCTCGGCCGGAGCGCTAATCCCGTACGTCTCCAAGGACGAGGAAGCATCGCTGCAGCGTCCAGCGACGACAACCACCGCAAAAACGTCGGCGCCGTCGTGCACGCAGAGCAGAACACACCCGATGATGACGCCGTCGTCCGCCGCGGCGAACTCGTCGAAGCGGCTGCGGGCGAAGGCGGCGGCGTACGCACAGCAGGTACGCCTGTCGCGACAGCGGCTCACACGCGCTTCCGTTCCTGCCTGTGAGCCGCCGCCGGATGTTGAGGAGAAGAAGGAGGAGGCCGAGGAGAGCCACAACTCAGCTTCTGATGATGCCGTGTCATTGGATTAGAGCGGGAAAAGAGGGGGGGGAGCGTTGGCAAACTTCATTCGCCTCTGCCCACTTTGCTGCGTTCCTCTTCAGGTCTCTGCTTTTCTTCTCTTTTGTTTCCTTTTATGATATGAGGCGAACAGCGCCCCTTTCGCCGGGTGATGATACCATCACTGACTCACAAAGGAAGGGAGGGAAGACACCGTTGTTGTTTGCAGACCGCACCAAACACTTCGTGCCGCCCCGTGAAGGGGTGGAAGCGGCACAGTTGGTGAACGGCGACGATGCGGGGCAGGCCGCATGTCCGCCATCGCTTTTCTTTTCCTCCGCACTCCGGCGAGCGGCACCGCCAGCGGCGTCGGCTCCCCGTTTTTCTCATGATCACAATAAGCTGCACCTCTTTCTTCGGCACATCTCTCTCCTCTCCTCTCCTCTCCCTCACGTTCTTTCTCACTGCTCCTGGGGCTCGTGTACCCACCCTTGACCGTGTTACCCGCTCGTGGCGGCACCTCCCCCACGCAAGCAACAAAAGAGGTAGGAAATCCCTGCGTGGGACATCGCACACGCACACACGCACACGCACTCTGAGCGAGGGAGTGAAACACACCACGCAAAGCCGCCAGACATCCATCGAAAGCAGAAGGGGCAATAAACATCGAGTCACAGAAGCGGTTCATACTTACTTAAAAAGAATATATATGTATATATATTCAGCACAAGTTTGACGTCCAACTCTGTTTGAGCGGCATGCGGTGCCGTCGGCGAATAGTATCTCCTTCTCCTTTTTCTTTCTCCATTCAACGAGTTGATTTGTGCTGTCTTGTTTATTTCTCTCCTTCTTTGTTATTTTAAATATATATATATTAGTGTTGTTTGCTTTCTACCCGCCCACCGCTGATCACGTTTGGCGGCCGTCATCTTCCATTGTTGGTGTGCTACGCTTGGGTTTCAGATCACCGCTGTCGCGATTGTCGCTGCGTCGCAAAAGGGCTCCTAACCCTTTTAATTGTTGTCGTGATTGTATTTATTATCTTCTTTTTTAGTCCTCTGCGATTTCACAGCTGTTGAGGTCGTCGCCTGAATCGCGCTCGCCGAGTTCCACTCCGCGTGTTGTGGTGTTGTTGTTGGTGGTGGTGGTGGCGTGCGTAACTTACTTGATTTCCTTTTCTTTTTGACTATTATTTGATGATCTGTGTTTTCTCTTCCTTCGTCTGAACAGCGCCAATAGAATTCTCTCCTACGTTAGTGTTTCATTACTATTTTTATTATTATTTCTTTCAGTAGACGACGCACAGCACTTCTGGTGCGGCAACGCATCCCAAAATACTCATTTAAAGAGCTTTACCCCAACGAGTTTATTGTCCTTCCACGCGAGGCACGCAACTCCACACATATCCCGTTCAATCTTCCAGCTTGACAGTCGCCATGCAGCTGTCGGGCTCTTTTGCAGAGGAGAGCGCAGAGGACGACAAGAGCAACAGCGTGCGCCAATGCCGCCTCCTCGCTACTGCGGCCGCGACATCCACCGCAGCGACGGCGCACGCCGTACGCGTAGCAGCAGCGGAGCGTCCGTTCCGCGCCACGCGCACTTCTCTCCTCTCCCCCGACACGCTGCTCTCCCCCTCGACCGACTCGCACGTCAGCGCCACACGACGTGAAAGTCCAGTTGCACTAGAAAGCCTTGCGGCGAGTCGGCACACAGACGTGCGGCTCAGCACCACAACCATCACCTCACCGAGAACCACGACAGCCACCACGCTCACCTCCGCCACCTTCACGGCCACCACACCGTGCAGCGTGCTCTCCACCTCTGGCAGAGGGAAGAGCGGGTCGGCGGCGCAGTACCGCGTGTATCAACCCTCTTCGCTGTTCGGCGTCAACCCAACACCCGCCGCCTCCGCCTCGCTCTCCTCCTCGCAGTTGTTGATGGATGCGGCGGCGGGCAAGCGACCCATCTCACTCGTCACAAGTGAGTACAACACCGCCTCCTCTTTCACCCTGCACAACGAAGGCGTGCCGGGTGAGGCGTCAGCGAAGACGTCGCCCACGCTGCGCCGCCGATCCTTCGACGCCATTGGCGAACCGGAAAGTGCGAGCGGCTCCACACGGCGGGTGGTGGGTCCGTTCGGCGGGTCGAGCACCGTCACACCTCGCACCCCGGCCGAGAAGAACAGCTGCGCCGTCGTTCGCAGCAGCGGTGTTGATCACAGAGCGGGAGGCGGCGGGGCGCCCGCACAACAATCCACAGCGCCGGTGGCGGTGCGCATTGCCGCCGACATTAACGCTTTTCCTGCCATCGCCTCCTCTCCATTGGGCGACGAGACGTGCGAGGAGGCGGAAGTGGCGCTGTCAACGGAGCCCGCGGCGGACAAGACCAAGAGGCAGCCGCCCAACTCCCGTGCTGGTTTAGCGCAGCGTCTCCCGGCGAAAGGACCGCGTGACGGCAGTCAGCTGAGCGCAGGCGAGGAAGGGGCACCTCGACCCCTCGCCGACCGCCGTCACAGCCCGCCGAAGCAGCGGGAAACGGCGTTGCAAAGAGCGCAGAACGAAACGGTAAGTGTGCCCTCAGCCGAGTCGTTGGTGGTCGCCGTGCCTGCAAATGTGCTGGCGGTGATGAACAATTCCACGGCAACCAAGGCGGAGCTGCTGGCGGCTCTGCGGACGGCGTGTCTGCAGTGTGAGGCACTGCAGAATCGCCTAACGGGGTTTGAAGGGCCACAGGCGGCAGACGATGCGACGGCACCCAGGGAAGCCGCTGCCACGCCGGTTTCATCCTCCCCTCCTCCTCACGACAACCGCGGCGTAGAGCACCACCGCCGAAGCAGTCGTGGCGGCAGCCACAACTGCAGAAGTAATAGTAGTGGTGAAAACGTCGATACTGCGACGGAGGGGCGTGGCGACGACGCAGAACGCCCGCGAACGCCGGACCGCAGCGAGCTCGTGCGTCGCCTTGAAGAAACTCAACTCGCCAGCTCTGCCTCAAAGCAAGGACGGGTGTCCCCGATAGACAGCGCTCGCGAGGCCGAAGTCGCAGCAGCTGCTGATGCGGCGGCGGCGGCGGTTGAGGGGCCACCGAGCAGTGGTAACCTCCAAAGCAAAAGTGCCTTCACCGCCTACGCCGCCCCGCCAGCACGTGAGCGAAGAAGTGCTTCCACGACAGCAGCGCCAGCTCTGCCCTTATCCGTTTCAGCGCTGTCACGCAGCTCCGCACGACCCGGCGAGACAGCGAGCACCAACGCCTCGCCGGCCGCCGTCAGCGCGGACGTCTCGGCGGTGCTGCGCAGTCGCATCGCGGAAGAGATACGACGCGTGGAGGCGACCCGCAAAGGGCAGCAGCAGCAGCAGCACAGCAGCGCTGCACCAGGAGCTTTACTCCAACGTCGAGTGGAGAAGGACAGGAAGGGAAGGGAAGACAAAGGCAAGGATGATGCAGCGCCGGCAGTAGCGCCACCACCGCCGTCTCTCACTCGACGGCACAGCGCCATCGGCCATCACAGGGAAAAGTGCAGCAACACCAACGTCGTAGTGAAGGTGCTCGGCGAGCCGGCAGCGGTGGAGCGAAAGGTGCGCGAGGCCGTCGTGAAAACGCGTGCCGTAGAGCTGAAGCCGTCGCCGACTTCCCCACCGTCGCCGGCGCACGAACAACACCTGCCCAGCCGCACACCCGTCACGGAGAGCGGAGCAAGGAGGGAGAGTGCACACCACGCCAGCAACAGCAGCGCTCGCGACGATGACGCAAGAAGAGAAGACGAATCGAACGTCGATGACGCGCACCGGCAGCAGCAACAACATCACGACCACACCGGGCTGCACCGGCGCACATCGCTGGTGTCCGACACCGCCAGTGAAAGGAGCCACAACGGCCCTGCGCTGCTCTCCACCCCCGCAGCCGCCGGTCGCCTCCCAATGCCGCAGCCGCCGCACTCGACGCCGAGCGAGTCGGTCGCGGCCCTGGCGATGGCGGGGTCGTCCGTCTCGCCCCGCCAGGCATACCACCGACGACTGCCCGGGACGTCGCTCGCCTCTGTCGAGTCCACCTCGAACGAGCACGACGGCAGCGTCTCGTCCGTCGGCCACGGCGCAGCGGTGATCGAGTGCGCCACAAGTCCGATTCGACTCACCCCCCTCGTCTCCTCCCGCGCCCTCACCGCCTCCACGACACTGCCGCCGCTGCGGGGGGAGGACATGCTGCTCGGCGCACAGAGCGCACGGCCGAGCAACGCGGCAGACAAGGACGGGACGCTCGTCAGCGGCGGCCCACGCGGACGGTGCGACGCCTCCCCCGCAGAGGCAGTGGCACCGCAATTGAGCTGGTTGACGCGTAGTGCCAGTCCGGCCTCCCCGCTGAACGGCGTCCTCCCGAGCGTGCACTCTCTATCGTCGCCGTCGCAGAAGTCCATCGTATCACGCAGCCCGTTATGCAGCTCGAGTCACGGCGGCGGCGGGCGCGGCACCCCCTCCGCCACGGTCGACCCGTCGGGCAACCGCACGGGCAAACCGTATCCCTCGCGTGCACCGGGCTCGACAACGCGCTCTGGGTCAGCGAACCGCAGCGTGGATGGTCGGGTGCTCTCCCCACTGCCGCAGACGCAGGAGACGACGACGACGTCGCGGGCTGGACTTGGGAGCGTCCCGTGCGCCTCCGGTCACGCGAGTGTGCCCACGGCGGCCACTTCCATTTTGGAGTTGGTGCGGCTGGTGGCGGACGAGGACGCGCCGGTGCCGCCACCATGCGACGACAAGAGGGCGGAGCTGCGGGAGTGGCGACGGCAGGCAGCGAAGCTGGGACTGCGTGGTGCCCCGCCGGCGTGCTGAACACGCACGTGCCGAAAGGTGTTGGTTGTCGCTAGATTGCGTCTCCTCTCTTCTCCCCTCTCTCTTCTTCCTTCTCTTGCAATTACTACGGCTGAGAGGGGAGGTCTTCTTTTTTCCAGTTTTCTTTTTGAAGATGTGCGGTGTTCGCCTGTGTTGGGTCACGGACGGTTGTGACAGCGGCACTAACGAAGGGAAAGGAAAGAGAAATACAGCGGCGTTCTTCGATCGGCAACGGTGCCATCTCCCCTCAGCGATTTCTTCGATCATCAGCATTACTTCCGCCGTTTGTCTTCTTTTCTCGCCCCTCCCTTCTTTCACCTTTACAGAGAGGACATGAGTAAGCACCGCTGTTTTCATGTTTGCCCTGTTCGTTGTGCACGTTCAAGAAGTGCAGTGAAGTCGAAAAAAAAAAGCGGTGAAAGAGGGAGTTCGATCTTGTTGCGCATTTGACGCGACGCGAGGCCTGTTTGCTTTCCCTCCCTCTCTCTTTCACATTCGCCTTCTTTCTCCGCCCATCACAAACTGCTGCTCTGCGCGCCTACGACGCGGATAACGGCACGCGGGCAAGTCACGGTGACGGTGCCCAACTTGGAGGAAGCGTCGTTTTTGTTTGCTTGTTTTTTGTCTTCTCTCGTCGTTCTCTTGCTGTTCTATGCGTGTCGTCAGCACGCCTGTTTCGGTCTATGTATTTCTTTATATTAATATATATTTTCCCGATGTAACTCTTCTTTAAGGTTTCTCCCGCGTTCTCTCGAAAGGCAATCGCGTGAAGTTGCGGAGTGCTGCGTGTGTGGGTGCGTGCGTCGTTCCTTTCCTCCACTCGGCACCTCCCTTTCCTTGACTGCGCTGTGCAGCTACACATGGGTGAAGGCGCAACCTTACCTGCGTTTTTTTATGGTTGTGGGTGGTGGTGGTGGTGACAGCTTTTGCTTCCTATTTTCTCCTTTTCAGAGCCACGCGACCGCCCCCCCCCCCCGTCAACGCGCTTTTCGATTACTTTCCGCTGGCTGCCCTGTACCGCGGCTGTCGCCCCGTTCGGTACGCGCTGTTGCGCTTTCCCCTACCGTATCGCTCCCTCGAAACCCTTCGTGCATAATAAAGCTTTACTGGTGGTCCGCGCAATCGTATGTCGGGCGTCTTCCTTTTGTTTGTTACGCTACTTTTTCCTCTTTATTCAGTTTCTTCTGCTTCCTCCTATCCACCTGCATGACCGCCGCGACGGACAACGCACGCGTTGGGCGCTGCGCGTTGTCGTCGTCGCCGTTTGCGTAGCACTCCCCCTTGCTAATACAGGCTTTTTTCCCCGCTCTTTCTCTCTCCCTCTCGCTGGTGCCGTCGCTCTGCAGCTTTGTCTTTCTTTCTTTCCTATTGGAGGTTTTATATATATTCTCGTTTTCCTTTGTTATTATTTACGTTATCTATCTATTTATATTTATATTTAGCTGTACGTACTCGTTTACTATTATCCCTCTCGTCCTGCTGCGTCCTCCGTCGCGCACGTGTGCTGTTTTGGCGTACCCGGCTGTTTTATCTTTGCCCTCCCTTGCCTTCTCTCCTGTCTTCCATCGCTGTTCACACCACACACACACACAAGAAGAAAGGAGAACAGAGAAAAGCAGCGGTGTCGTTGGTTGTGCGTTTGCGGTTCTCTCCCTCTCCCTCTGTCTGTCCTATTCATCTCCGTTTACCAAGCGACTTCACCACGGAAACGAGACGGTCGAGGTGTTTTCGTCCGGAACGTTCTTTGCGTAGGTGCGGCGTGCACCGCGGCAGAGACCCTTTTTCTTGTTGTTGCTGCCGTGCGCGTCGTCATGCCGCCTTGGTTGAGTTGAGTTAGGTTGGGGAGGGGGGAGGTTCTTAGCTCAAGAAGTGATGCCAGTGGCGCCTAAAGAAGAAAAGGCCAAGCTTTATTATTATTATTATCATCCGTCTTCTACACCTCTCCCTCTTCGTCGTCTTGATGGCTCTGTCGGTCATTCCTCCTACGATGCCGTTTAATCGTACGTCCAATAACAACTGCACAGTGATTTCTATACGTTGTCTGCCCGTAGTTTTCTCAATTCCACACAAACACACACACCAACACCAGCAGCAGAAAGAAGAAAAGAGAAGAGAGGAGAGAAATGGCCACTTCTAGCGTTGCGGCAGCGGCAGCCACGAAGCCGCCCACCCTCGCCCAGAAGAAGCAACCGAAAGAGGCGCAAGACGGCCGGCCGGCCATCCACACCTCCCTCTACGAGGAGTACGAGCGCCTTAGCAAAGATATCAAAAACATCCAGCTGAAGACGATGATCTGTAAGACGGAGACGCACCAGCTCATGAAGGAGGAGAGCGCCGCGAAGCAGGAGGTGAAGCGCATTCAAGCCGTGCCGCTCGTGCTTGGCAACTTCGTCGAGGCCGTCGACAGCGTGCGCGGCATCGTGAGCGGCACCAGCGGCTCGCAGTACTTCGTACGCATCCTGTCCACTCTCAACAAGGAGCACCTGAAGCCCAACGTCAGCGTCGGGCTGCACAAGAGCAGCAACGCCTGCGTGCAGCTGCTACCAAGCGAGACGGACGCCACCATCACCCTCCTCAACTCCAGCGACCGACCGGACGTGACGTACTCCGATGTCGGCGGTCTTGACATGCAGAAGCAGGAGATCCGCGAGGCGGTGGAGCTGCCGCTGACCCACGCCGGCCTGTACGAGCAAATCGGCATCGACCCCCCACGCGGCGTGCTCCTTTACGGCCCGCCCGGCACCGGCAAGACGATGCTCGTGAAGGCCGTCGCCCAGCACACGAAGGCGTCCTTCATCCGCGTCGTGGGCAGCGAGTTCGTGCAGAAGTTCCTCGGCGAGGGCCCACGCAAGGTGCGCGACGTCTTCCGCCTCGCCCGCGAGAATGCGCCGTCGATCATCTTCATTGACGAGGTCGACTCCATCGCCACGAAGCGCTTCGATGCGCAGACGGGGGCGGACAGGGAGGTGCAGCGGGTGCTGGTGGAGCTGCTCACGCAGATGGACGGCTTCGACCAGACGACAAACGTGAAGGTGATCATGGCAACGAATCGGTGGGACACGCTGGACCCCGCCCTGCTGCGGCCCGGCCGTCTGGACCGCAAGATTGAGTTCCCCTACCCCGATCGGCGGCAGAAGCGGCTTGTATTTCAAGTGTGCACGTCGAAGATGAACCTGTCGCCGGAGGTGGACTTGGAGGACTACGTGACGCGGCCCGAGAAGCTCAGCGGTGCGGACATCCAGTCCATCTGCCAGGAGGCGGGCATGCTGGCGGTGCGGAAGAACCGGTACGTGATCCTGCCGCGTGATATTGAGAACGCCTACCGCACCGTCATCAAGAAGACGGGTGATGAGACGTACGACTTCTACTCCTAAACGACAGCGCTTTAGTAGTATTATTAGTACTGTCATTTGAAGGGACGCGAGACCGGGTGCAGCATCAGCGTAGGAGAGAGGAAAACGCTCACGTGAAAGGAGCAGTAAACATCATTGCCGGGTCAGCGGCGAGAGGGCGTCTTTTCATGTCCGCATTCGAGCCGCATAAACCACAACGACTGTCTTTTTAGGTATGTGCGAGTGCTTGTTCTGGATACACGTTGGGGGGGGGGGGAGAGGAG